TATTAAAAAGTCACAAAATAGAGGGCTTGGTGGTTTATTGAAAGGCCACTACAGGAGGGATGGCCCAAGACATTTTAGCACCTAGGGTGAACCACAAATGTCCCCACCCCCTGGCCAGGGAAGAAGGGGTGGATGAAGACCTACAGGTGAAACTCAGAAAATTAGAATATGGTGGAAAAGTTCATTTATTTCAGTTTTCATCAGCTGTACGCCGTAATCATCATAATTATAACAAATAAAGGCTTGACATATCTTGCTTTGCATGTCATGAGTCTATCATATATTAGTTTCACCTTTTAAGTTGAATTACTGAAATGAAATTTTCCACGATATTCTAATTTTCTGAGTTTCACCTGTATATCTGGAACAAGAGGAAAATAAAGATCTACATCTGGAACAGTAGCGGGGCAGGTAGAGGAATCAAATCAGACTTACCCAATGGGTGAAGTGGGAATGAAAGGCTGTTTCAGAGGGAAAAGGGGCCCACTCTGAATCATGCTGGGCGGGGGCAGAGCCCAGGAGACCCTAAAAGGCAGCCCTCGTGTTTCCTCCCCAGGGGTGGAAGAAGGCTAGCTGTGCTTCCTATTCACCAAGAGACTGCTGTAGAGGTGGCATGGGGAGGGGGGTTTCTGAGGTGGTGGCAGATCTGGCCTCCATGGAGTGCTACCGCAGCAAAGAGGCCATGTATTCCTTAAAAGAGGTGTTCTCTGCTGCGAAGGAGAGAACGCGGGATGCCTCTTCTAAGATGGTCCCTTCTGTTTACAGGTTTCCTTGAAGGAAAGTGACCGTAGCTCAATGCTGAGCATATAGAAGGTCTCAAGTTCAACCTCCAGCATCTCTAGGTAGGGTAGGGAGGGACACCTTTTTGAAACCCTGGAGAGTCGTGGCTACCCAGTGCAGACATTACAGAGTTAGCTGGAGCAATGGTTTGACTCCTATGTTCACTAAAGTCAAGAGACTGAAATGTGTCCAATGCTGCAATCCTATACAGTGGTACCTCGGTTTAAGAACAGTCCTGTTTACGAACAATTTGGTTTACGAACTCCCCCCAAAACCGGAAGTAGTGTCCCGGTTTGCAAACTTTACCTCGGTCTACAAACGGAAACCAAACGGTGGAAGGGCACTGGTGGTGGGAGGCCTCATTAGGGAAAGCGCACCTCGATTTAAGAATGGTTTTGGTTTAAGAATGGACTTCAGGAACAGATTAAGTTCGTAAACCGAGGTCCCACTGTACTGATTTACCTGGAATGAAGTTCCTTAGAGCTCTATGAGATTTTTATTTCTTTAGGCACATTACATTGTATATTTGAAGCGAAGACCCATACCTGTAAGTTTCTCTTCATGTTGTAAGCTGATAGAAACTCAGAGGGAAAAATTCTTGAATTTATTCTGTATTTTTACTGGAAATTGTTGTGGCAGCAGAACTTCTTCAAGGGCTTACATTTAAACCATGTGTTGAAAGGATCTTTGAGAGCCACCCTATAATCAGCTGCATTCAATTATACTTGGCATCTAGACTTTTGTATTAGCGTTGCGATAAATTACAATATGAAAATCTTGGAACAAATAAAATGTGTCTCTGAGCTGTAGGCATAATGGTAGGGTTGACCTAATGTACTGGTTTAATTGGCTTTCTCCTTATTTTAATCCTAATTGTCATTGAGCTGTAACAGATTGATGGGTGAAGCAAATTATCTCGCTGTAAAAATATCCATTGATACTGTAGCAGGAGACCTTTTTAAGTACTGGAAGCTTAGAAGTCTGTTTTTGGTTTGTTTTGCTTTTTCCAGACTGCTTGGTGATTCTGCCTCTTCTTTACTTCCCTCTCGGGCAACTGTGTGAGCTGTGGATGGCACCTTATATCAGAGTTCATCTACACAACGTATAACATTGTGTTGAGAAAGCCTCTCCTTCCGGAGGGGAGGGATTGTGAGCGGGAGACGATTCCCGCATCACGCAGGGGGCATTATGCCCCCTGCCCTCTCATAATCGCTGGCGCTCCACGCCTCCCAGTTGGGCACCCAATTGGGTGCCACCGCGGGGGGCATGGTTTAGCCGCTCAAATGTGGCTGCGCCAGCTCTCCCCACCATTGCGCTTCAGATTTTCCACGAGTCACCCACCCACCACTCCCTTTAGGGCGTAGCTTCTTGCTCGACCTTGCTGTGGACCCATGGTTGGTCGCCCTGGTTGCCCAGGCGGCCTGGTAGGAATTTTTTCCAATTGGCAAATTGGCACCGGCCTCTTGGTTTTCTTTGCCTACCTCGTAGCAATCGTCACAAGTTTCTTGGTATTTGGTGGTTAGGCATTGGAATGTGTTGTTGGTGTATGGAAGGGCAAGGTGTGGCCATCGCCTACCCCTTCACTTATGGGTATTCCGTTAAAGGAATCCGGCAGTCGTGGATGCTGTCCAATGCCCTGTGCAGTGGGGGGCCATGGCACAACCCTCGGTGACATCAGGGGAGAGCTTATAGTTGTATTGGCATCAACAGGTTCCCCCTACTGGTGGTTAACCCCTCATCAGACTCACCCCTCTCCGAGTGGATGGAGTCAAATTTGCTGTGGTCCAATGCCTAAGCCAATACCTTCTCACATGCTGTAATCAATAAAGTTGTGGCCTTTTCTTGCCCATTAACCTAATATACTGTGTCCACGTGTCTTCATTCCCCAAGCGGGGATCGGGTCCTCGAATCACAAATACATGGGAGGGTGAAAATAGAACATAATGACATTGGCCTCATCATTTAGAGGAACTTTTGGTGCTCCAGATGTTGCTGTACTAAACTCTCACCAGTCCAGCAAGCACGGCCAGTGACCAGGGGTGATGGGAATTGTAGTACAGCTGCATCTGGAGGGCCAAAAGTTCCCCTTGCCTGATCTAGAATAATAGAAATGAATGTTGTTGTTTGTTTCCTAAGAGCGTAGATGCAGAGCAGTATTGAAGAGTCTTCTCGGTGGGCACCGCTTCATTCCCATTATTTACGACGTTCAGCTGTGAGTGCTGTTGCTTATGTTCCCAAAATGTCATCACCCACGCTCAAGCCTAATGAGAACTGGGCATGCTCAGTCGCCACAGAATGCTGACTGCATGTGGAGAGAATGAGCAGAAAAGAGGGAATGCAAAGTGAAGTGTGGTTTGGGATTTTTTTACTTTTTATTTTGTAGCGATATTTTTAGTTACGTCATTTTGGCTCCTCCTTCACCTCCCCTTATGTCATTTTGGCTCCTCCTTCACCTCCCCTTGCCCCCTTCCCACCAGGTGTGGAGGTTTAAGTGGTACTTGAAGCCTACAATTTTGTCCTGAATGTACTACAGATCATTCTAATATTTCACTATCCAAGGGAGATACCAATATTTACAAATAGAGGGTGTGAAAGAGCCATCTTAAGGTTTTGATTTGCTCAAGCAACTAGGACAGAATTTTTATTTTTTTTAAATTAAAGCTCCCAAATTGTTATGCCTTTATGCAATATTTGATATTTTAAATAGATTTTTTGGTTCAAAAATAGAGAATCATGCCAACTATTTTCACAGTAAAGTTTTTTTATTTTTTTTGTTCCTGTATTACATTCATCACCAATAAAAGGACAAAGGAGAGCACAGGCTTGCATAAAATTTGCATATGGAAATAATTGCTAAAAATTAAATAGAAATACAATACATCTCACCATAGTGAAGGAAACTGTAACTAGGTGCCTGCACTGTTAACAGGTGCCTGCATAGTTAGCACAGTTCCGGGTGCTAACTGTTAATAGGCAACTTCAAGGCCCCTGTTTTCCCTTCCCTGTTTCCGCTTTAGGACTTGGACTGGAAGGCTCTCCAAATAGATGGCCTTCCTCTGTAGAGTAGGACATATGGACACACTTTTAAAGAATGTCTTCATGATTACCATTGGACTTGATTGTGAGCTGAAAAGAAGATGAGGTGTGTTGAAACAAATACAGCATTTGTCACATTAGAAAAGGTCTTGAGACCAGGACTTCCTCTAGCTACAATATGATTGGGCTACTGTAATGAATTTTACATGGGACTGCCTGTAAAGATGATTTGGAAGCGCCAATTAATTCAGAATTCAGCTGCAAAAGTTCTGTCTGGTATGGGTTAGTGAAGCCATTATACACCAGTTCCATGTATTTTAAAAGGAAGATCCTTTCACATTCACATCCATTCATTCACAGTCTCCTAATTTCCTCTAATTCAGTGCTCAAATTACAAATGAAAAGGTGGAGGATAATGATGTCTGTTCTCTGATTCCAAATAGTGCTCCCTTCCTCAATAGTAGCCAAAGTGGGCAGGGCAGGGCATTCTCTGTATTTTAAACATTTATCTAGTTTCATCTCAGAATCTACTAAGTCTTTCCACTAGAATGTACAGTCTAGGATAAAATCCAATTCTAGTCTTCGGTTTGGCACTCTGTTTAGTTAACTGGGTTTTGAAAATTATCTTGAGGGGTGCCCGCAAGGTGCTGAAGTGTGGGTTACAAATATTTAAACAAATTAGGTAAAGGTAAAGGGACCCCTGACCATTAGGTCCAGTCATGGCCGACTCTGGGGTTGCAGCGCTCATCTCGCTTTATTGGCCGAGGGAGCCGGCGTACAGCTTCCCGGTCATGTGGCCAGCATGACTAAGCCGCTTCTGGCGAACCAGAGCAGCGCACGGAAATGCCGTTTACCTTCCCGCCAGAGTGGTACCTATTTATCTACTTGCACTTTGACGTGCTTTCGAACTGCTAGGTTGGCAGGAGCAGGGACCGAGCAATGGGAGCTCACCCTGTCGCGGGGATTCGAACTGCCAACCTTCTGATCGGCAAGTCCTAGGCTCTGTGGTTTAACCCACAGCGCCACCCGTGTCCCTTTAAACAAATTACCTAGCTGCATTAAAGCTGCAGTCATGAATTCTATCAGCTTCTGGCTGGGTACCGAGTGTTCTTTTTGTTCTTGATTGGCTGGCCTTAAGTTCTGACCAATAGGAAGGCAAGGCAGATACGCCATTTTGCCCACCCAGGTTGCCAGGGAACACAACAGCAAGGTGCTTAAATGTTGAGTCCTCTGAAAGCGTTGACTGCTTGTATCCATTCTAGCAGCTCATCATCACAATCTGTGGACTCTTCTACCCCGTCCGAGGGTCCATCGTCGCAGTCTGTGGCTGAAGGCACATCATCACAGTCTATAGCTGCTACTACCCTGTCTGGAGCCACATCATCCCTGTCTGCAGCTGTTCTTCCCCCATCTGGAGGCTCGTCCTCACAGTCTGTAGCTGCTTGCAGCCAGTCTCAGAACTCATTGACGCAGTCTGTGGCTGTTCCTGCCTCATCTGGAGGCGCATCCTCACAGTCCGTGACTGCTCATACCCAATCTCAGGACTCACTGCCACAGCCCGTTGCCACTCCTACCCCACCTGGAGGCTCAGCGACACCATCTTTGGCTGCTTCTGCTGCCTCGTATGGAGGCACTTCGTCACAGTTTTTGACCGTTCCTTCCACGTACGGAAACACACCGTCACAATTCCTGACTCTTCCTGCCGAAGGCGTATCACTGGAGAAAGAGGCAAGACAGGAATTGAGGGGTTGGGAAACAGGAATGAGTATATGGGCTCAGGATGCGCGTAAGGGAATCGATGAGTGGAGTGAGAAGACCTGGAGTTTGAGCACACCGTTGCTTTGCCCCTTGGATCTGTTCCTGTTTGCCTCTGCTCTTTCTGTCTCATTCATACTTAGGTCTTCAAGCTCTGTGTGTACTTCTACGCATTCATTTTACTCGCACTGACTGGTTCTCTCTTTCCTTCTCTAATCTGCCTGTGCCATTCTGTCTGAGGCCTTGTTGACACATAGTGAAACTCCTGTGTCAAAGTCAGTGGATTCTCACAATGCTTTAACATTTCTCAGGTGTTTATTTTCTGGTTAACCGTTTGAAAGTGGGAAGATTTTACATTGGGGGAGCAGGATTGTAAGCCTCCAGGTGTTTTGGAGCTGCAGCCCCTATCCTCCCTGACCATTGGCCATGTGCTACGGTTGATGGGAGCTGGGAGTCCAGCAACATTTTCAGGCAAACCACTACCTCTAAGGGTTCCATATCTGCTGAGCATTCTCAAAACTCTGTTACTCAGAGACTGTTAATAGATGAGTTCTAAAGCCGGGACTTGCCTAGTCTTTCACAATAGACTTATATGCTACCCAGTGCCTACATAGAATAGTCATATTTAATGGGGGCCATTGTGTGTTTCAAGGGGGAATTTGTTGTGGGTCATTGATGCCCACATTACTGGATTTTGAAATGACAACTGGACTCTCTTTACTCTTACTTTCTATTATTGTTGGTTAGTTCAGTAGAATTGATCTGATTTCACTTTTATTTAAAAATCCTTGTAACTTAAAAAAAAATGCTTTGCATGTCGATGGAGATTAGAGTTGTGGGTCAGCAGTGGTATGGACCAGTGCTTTTTTCTCTAAAAAAATGTTTAGGAGTACTCTCATTTTGACTCAAGAAAATCACCATTTTATAGTTTAAATCAGGAAAAATAAATACAGTAAATGAACAAAAGTACAAAGATTCACAAAATGTTTAGGGGTATGCGTATCCCTGCATCCCCCCCCCCGAAAAAAAGCACTGGTATGGGCAAACTTTTGTGTAGAATGGATTGTGGCTGGGCCACAGAAATGAGAATATATATATATGTCATATAACAAATGTGAACCAGCTTTTTAGACAGGGGTTATAATTTTGTGGTTTTCTTTTGTTCATCCTTCAGGATGCAGAGCAGAATTAAAGTGGACTGATAATGTTGGTTTTTGTCTTGTTCACCTTTATTTAACTCTGCCCCTTTGATTGCTGTTGTGCTGATAGTTATGCTACAAAAAAATCTGTGAGTCTTTAAATTGCCCCAAGACTCTTTGTTTTTTATGTACTTGATGGCAACCATGCCACAGCCGGCCCTCCTGTTGGACAGAGTGAGGTAGCTATTTGAGGCAGAAAATGTGAAGAGTGTAGGGAGAGTAATATCAAGGTGTTAAAAGCGCTGGGCTGTGTGTGTTCTGCACACATCCCTCAAACCAGTTCTCTGCCCTCAAGTGTGGTGAAAAACACTGTCCAATTGCCAGTGTTGAAGTAGGAGCATGTGCCAGACTAGGGTTGCTATATTTCAAACAGTGAATCTGGACAGAAAAGTTGTTGAGCTTTTCTTTTTTCTGCCAAAGTTGTTGAGCTTCTTTTGGTTTTGCCCAAAGTTGTTGAGCTTTTTCAGTAAAATTGCCGTATTTGAGCTATTTTTAAGGAAATACTGCAAAAATGGCACTGCCAACATGGGTTGTCATATGTCTGGATTTTACCGGACATTTTCCCAATTTCTGCCCAGGCACTGCTGCTGACTGCAGTATTCCAGTTGTATTCAGGAAAATCCGGACGTATGGCAATCCTATATGAGCTTCTGTTGAGGGGTAAAGGATCATCTTGTCATTCACCTCTTGCAAAATAGTTTATACCAGCCCATATGTAGTTTAATGGATGAATATTATTTAGTCAGTCACTTGTTGAGTGTGGTAATGACCATTATACTTAACATGTCATTTCTCTACCTACCATTTGATCTGAAGGGCATTAATTGTGTTTTGTTTTTTAAATTGTGTTGCAGGATCCTGCAAATCAAAAATGTGGACGCAAGAAAACAGTGTCCTTCAGCAGCATGCCATCGGAAAAGAAAATAAGCAGCGCCAACGACTGCATCAGCTTCATGCAGGCTGGTTGTGAACTGAAGAAAGTCCGGCCAAACTCCCGTATTTATAATCGTTTTTTTACCCTGGACACTGACTCACAAGCGCTTCGCTGGGAACCATCTAAGAAAGATCCTGACAAGGCCAAACTCGAAATTTCCGCTGTGAAAGAGGTCCGGTTAGGGAAAAACACAGAAACATTCAGAAACAATGGGCTAGCAGATCAAATTTCCGAAGACTGTGCCTTCTCTATAATTCATGGGGAGAATTATGAGTCACTGGATCTCGTTGCCAATTCAGCAGACGTGACCAACATTTGGGTGTCAGGTTTGAGGTACCTGGTTTCCCGTGCCAAACAGTGCCTGGATTTGATAGAAGGTAGCCAGGACACTCCACGTTTTGCATGGCTAAAGTCTGTGTTTGAAGCCGCAGATGTCGATGGTAATGGGATCATGTTGGAAGACACAGCTGTAGAATTAATAAAGCGGCTGAACCCTGCCTTAAAGGAGTCAAAGATCAGGTTAAAATTTAAGGAAATACAGAGAAGCAAAGAGAAGCTAACGACCCGTGTAACGAAAGAGGAATTTTGTGAAGCATACATTGAGCTTTGCACTAGACCCGAAGTTTATTTTTTGCTGGTGCAAATATCTAAAAACAAAGAATACTTAGATGTCAATGACCTCATGCTTTTTTTAGAAGCTGAGCAAGGGGTGGCACAAGCAACTGAAGAAATGTGTCTTGATATTATTCAAAGGTATGAATTTTCGGAGGAAGGGCGGTTGCAGGGTTTTCTGGCAATTGATGGATTTACTCAGTATTTGCTGTCCCCGGAATGTGATATTTTTGACCCTGCACATAAAAATGTTGTCCAAGATATGACCCAGCCTTTATCACATTACTATATCAATTCATCTCACAATACTTACCTAATAGAAGACCAGGTGCGAGGGCCAGCTGATATTAATGGCTATGTCAGGGCACTGAAGATGAGCTGTCGATGTATTGAACTGGATGTGTGTGATGGTCCAGATAAGGAGCCCATCATCTGCAATCGTAACAGCATGACGTCACCTCTATCTTTTCAGTGTGTCATTGAGGTGATCAACAAATTTGCCTTTGTTTCATCACAGTACCCTCTTATTCTTTGCTTGGGAAACTACTGCTCCATACAGCAGCAGAAGGTTATGGTTGAACAGATGAAGAAGATTTTTAAAAACAGGCTCTATACTGATATGCCACCACAGTCAGAAGCCTACCTTCCATCTCCAGAGAAACTGAAAATGAAGATTATCATCAAAGGGAAGAAACTTCCAGATGGTGAGGATTTATTAGAGGGAGAAGTCAGTGATGAAGACGAAGAAGCTGAAATATCTCGAAGAATGTCTGAAGTGTCTGTGGAGACGCCCAAGATGACTTGGTTATGCAAGGAGCTGTTTGACCTGGTATCTGTATGCAGAGCTGTCAGATTCAAAGATTTTGAGCACTCAATGAAAAGTCAGAATTACTGGGAAATCTGTTCCTTTAGCGAAGCAGATGCTAGCAGAATTGCAAATGAGTGTCCGGAGAACTTTGTAAATTACAATAAGAAATTTCTGTCTCGAATATACCCTAGTGCCATGAGAATAGATTCCAGCAACTTAAATCCGCAGGATTTTTGGAACTGTGGTTGCCAGATAGTGGCCATGAATTATCAAACGCCAGGGCCGATGATGGATTTACATACTGGTTGGTTTCTACAAAACGGAGGATGCGGTTATGTTCTTCGACCTTCTGTTATGAGAGAAGAAGTTTCATATTTCAGTGCGAATACAAAGGGCATAGTTCCAGGGGCCTCTCCTCAAGTTCTGCATGTCAAAATCATCAGTGGGCAGAACTTTCCAAAGCCAAAAGGAGCCTGTGCCAAGGGGGATGTCATAGACCCTTATGTGTTCCTAGAAGTCCATGGCATTCCTGCAGACTGTACAGAACAGAGAACTAAAACCGTTCAGCAAAACAGTGACAACCCCATTTTTGACGAGAGCTTTGAGTTTGAGATAAACCTACCAGAACTTGCAATGATCCGTTTTGTTGTGCTGGATGATGATTACATTGGAGATGAGTTCATAGGCCAATGCGCTATCCCCCTAGAATGTATACAGCCAGGCTATCGGCACATACCTTTACGCTCCTTTGTTGGAGACCTTATGGAGCATGTTACGCTTTTTGTGCACATTGCAATAACTAACCGAAGCGGTGGAGGGAAGGCCCAGAAACGCAGCCTGACCGCAAGAATAGGGATGAAAACAAGAGACTATACCATGCTGCGGAACACAAGTCTTAAGATTGTAGATGACATCTTCAAACCAGCGATACATCCATTAAGAGAGGCAACTGACATGCGGGAAAATATGCAGGTAATGAAACGTACCATTTCATTCTTTTCATTTCTTTTAGAACTTGATTTAGCCAACTATTTAAGTCAAAAGAACTGCTAATGATATTTTCATAATGGGGGGATCTTATCGCAAATGATGCAACACCCCATTAGTAAATAATGTTGTAGCTCACTTAAATTGTATTCTTTCGGTGTTGTTGAATGCACAGACCCCAAGACCCTACCTCTCAAGTGTCAATGAGCTGAACCTTACGTTAGGATGTCCTCTGCATCTCTTGTAACCTGAAGTTCCCAACTTCTACCATGCTATCCTTGTTCTTCTGGATTTCTCTTCAACAGCCTTTTGGTCTACTACAGCTCCCACCATCCCTGATTGTTGGCCATGCTTGTTGAGGTTGAAGGGAGTTGTAGCTGAAACATCTGTAGGACAGCAGATTGATGAAGGTTGCTTCAAGAGGGATCTTCCGAAGGTGGCAAGGCAGTCAGATTGCATGCCTGCCCCCACTGCACATACTGTCATCATCTGTGACTCAGGCCGTGCATCTGTACACATAAATGCCAGATTCCTATGACCTTCTCTTCGCTGTCGTCCCCCCCCCCGAAGAAGGATTGAAGAAACCAGATGCAAGTGCAAACAAATGCATATGTGTATGCAGTAATTAGGGACGCGGGTGGCGCTGTGGGTTAAACCACAGAGCCTAGGGTTTGCTGATCAGAAGGTTGGCAGTTCGAATCCCCGCGACGGGGTGAGCTCCCGTTGCTCGGTCCCTGCTCCTGCCAACCTAGCAGTTCGAAAGCACGTCAAAGTGTAAGTAGATAGGTACTGCTCCAGCGGGAAGGTAAACGGCGTTTCAGTGTGCTGCTCTGGTTCGCCAGAAGCTGCTTAGTCATGCTGGCCACATGACCTGGAAGCTGTACGCCGGCTCCCTCAGCCAATAAAGCGAGATGAGCGCCGCAACCCCAGAGTCAGTCACCACTGGACCTAATGGTCAGGGGTCCTTTTACCTTTATCTATGCAGTAATTAATACATGACTGCATACTCTCAGTGTATATTTCTATGTATATCTCTGTATTACACAGACGATGATGCAGCCCAGCACCAAAAACATGCTAAAATCCATTGTAGTCCCTGCACACTAAGAACAGTGTTCTTGTGTGCACCAGATTTGGCACTGAAAGAAGTTAGAAGTCAGAGTTTCATGAAATGTTACAGGACTAGTAGTCTACTGTCTTCTGTTAATAGGAATGTTCTTCAATAAATTAAAATTTTCCACCAGGAACAATAACGTATATTTATGCAGGTCCCACACAAGGGTTTAAAGTTCCCCATAAAGGATTAATTCATTTGTTCTATAAAACTTGGTGTGCCCCCCCCCTGCTGCATCCTTCTTTTCAACATGTTTTAAAGATGAAGGATTGAATCGCAGACATGGAACTTTTTTAATCAAGTGAAAGTACATGTCTACAGTTCATGCAAACAGTTTTATCCTTACCCTAATGTATAAGCAAGTGGTGAGAAAATACAGATCTTGCTACTGAAACACCTTAAAGCCAAATTACATTTAGCACAAAAATGAATGAGGTTTCAATATGCATTTAGATGACAACACCCTTTGCCGTCTGTCAGAAGATAGAGAGAGCAGCTGATTTAATTATATTTAAAAGCGGTGTTTTTCTAAATTCCTGTTGGGAACTGGTTTGTAAATATGCTTGTACAGAAAAAGAGAGAAAAAAGCCCTACTCAAAACGAGAAATGTTAGTATAGCCAAATGATGGAGAGTTGCTCTTTCACTTTTATAGACTATAATTACTTTCATACACACAGATGTTCCATTCATTTTCTGTCCTACTTGGATTACAATGGTATGTAGCAGAATGCAAGTTCAGTGCCAATTTGTATAATTTGGGATTGATGGGATTCAGGTGGCCTTTGGAGCAACGCAGTGTCTGTAATGGAATTTTGTACTCTCTCCAAATCTGCTACTGCTGAACTTGATAAGCAACAAAATGGTTTGTGGCAGCTGAAGAGGTTTAGGCGGCGACTAAACACATGTGTAATGGATAATAATTTAAATTAGATTGCTATAAGGTTCATACTGCATCACACAGCATCCTTCAGTTCCCTTGTACTTGGGAGAGAGTCCACTGCTGTAATGTTGAACGTTTGATTGGTTTGTTCATTCCCTTGCTTCCTGGGAGTGGGGTGCTGCTGCTTATGGGGAGGCGGATTAAGAGGCAAGGTGGATGCAGTGCTGGGGAAACACATCTCTTTCTCACTTGGTAAGTGGAAGCAACCCCACTTCCAGGAAGCTTGTGTTGTGGCTCCATGCCCAGTAGGGGTGAGCTAGATCTGGGAGGGAGTTGCACCTCTTCTCCTCAGTGCTTTTTCGGAGCTGTCTTTCTCAGTGCATGAAAAAGAACTGATAGGGCATATATAATGTGTCCAGCTTTCTGGAAGAGTTCCCTAAAGGAAATAAATGGCTTATCCTATAGACTTCTTGGGTGCTAGCATACCAAGGTGTATATATCCCAGGTTTCCTTAAAAGGTAAAGGACCCCTGACAGTTAAGTCCAGTCGCAGACGACTCTGGGGTTGCGGCGCTCATCTCGCTTTACAGGCCATGGGAGCCGTCATTTGTCCGGAGACAGTTTTCCAGGTCATGTGGCCAGCATGACTAAGCCACTTCTGGTGCAACGGAACACCAAAACCAGAGCAGCGCATGGAAACGCCATTTCCTTCCTGCCAGAGCAGTACCTATTTATCTACTTGCACTTTGACGTGCTTTCAAACTGCTAGGGTGGCAGGAGCTGGGCCCAAGCAACGGGAGCTCACCCTGTCGCGGGGATTTGAACTGCCAACCTTCTGATCGGCAAGCCCAAGAGGCTCAGTGGTCTAGACCACAGTGCCACCTGAGTCCCCCAGGTTTCCTTAATGCCTGCTTGAAACGGAAAATTGGTTTTTGGTTGTGTCTGTAGTCTCCTGGTATGACTTGTAAACTGACTCCTTATGCAATGTGTCAGTCAGAGGATGCAGCTGTGCCACTATGGAAGCTTGTCCCCTTTATTGAATGCTGACAAGTCTTCTGCCTTTAACTATAGCCTGAAAATATAGGTTAAAAATACTGGGCACACATTACTATTCAGTGAGACATTAAATACACCCTGACTCTAGCTTTGAGTATTTCAGGAAAATCAAGCAAATACCTTTCTATTTTTGTCTTAAAAGGAAATACAAGAGAAATATTTTAAGGCTCATGCATATGAGCACACATTTTAGGAGATAGTTCATTAAGAAAAAAAGCAAACTTGAATGCTGATAAAAATAGAATAAAATAGAGCTCAGTCTATTACATGTTCTTGAAGAAAATTAAGCCTTGAATTTTTCTCGAGATCCCTAAGCAGGCTTGAAATCAGCATCTGAAAAGTTGACAGGAATGGTGGAGCCCATGGTTCTCAGAGGGCCCTCAGCTCCTGCTTGTGGCTTCCTTTTTAAAAAGTTTCCAGCATTCAAAAGAGAAGTACCAAGTGATTAAGTTGCAGTCGCTGTGATTATCATTTCCCTGGAGTGCCTCTGGGGCTCTGATGTCGGACTGAGAAGCATCCAGGGGAAATTAAGATGGCAGCTTCTCACCTGGCATTCTTTTGGCTAGCTGGGTAGCATGTTGCTGCCCCACTCAGCAGTGTATTGGGGGGGGGGCTCACTAGGACACCATAGCAGGTCTCCTCAAACCTGGCGTCGGCTCTGTCTCTAAGGACCACTTCTAAGGACCAAGAGTCCAGTGTTCCTCATTACATTTACAGTTAGCTCTATAAAATAAATTGGAATGATTCCCTGCCGTAAGTATAAACTGATGCTTTTATTTTCCTCAACAGAATGCAATTGTGTCTCTTAAAGAGCTTTGTGGACTCCCACCAATTACCAATCTGAAGCAGTGCATTTTGACCTTGTCCTCACGCCTTATGAACAGCGAAAATGTTCCCTCAGTGGCCCTCTGTATGAAAGACAACTTCCCCTACCTAGAACCTTTGGGGACATTGACGGATGTGCAGAAGAAGGTTCTAGCGGCATACGACCTGGTATGGTGTGGTTTTTTTGGTTGTTGTTGTTACCTGGTTTATATTGGAAATAACATGAGCCAAATCTGTTTCTCAGAGACTTTCATATTGGCTTATGCCTTGTGTTTCCCCAAACTCAACTTTATTTGTTTGTTTGTTTATATTGAATTTATATAAAAATAAACATCAGCATCAAGCCTTTTAAGACGATCAATGCCTTTCCCTGTGTAGCATCTTCTACCTTTCCCAAATAGGATAGAGGAGCATCTTGACAACCACTGGTCTGTATTGGTATCTGTCCTGTTATATATACAAAATGGATTTAATGTTTTCCACTTGGAAATAAATATTTTTCTCCCAGTTGCCAGAAGCGTCAGATAACCATGTTAGTACACAAATGGGGCAGAAGATGTGTGATAGGGAGATGTGAGAAGAAAGCATAATTAATTATTTAAACTTATTAATCAGTTTTTTAACAAAACAAACTCAAAGTGACTTACAACAATAAATCAATTAAACATAAATTTAACCAGGATAATAATAATAAAAAAGAGGAAAATCTAAAACGCATTCATCTTTTCAAAAGGCAGCACTAAAAGGTCCCACTCACTGAAGGAGGCCACGGATAATTGAAAGGGAAAGGCCTAGCAGAAAAGAAATGTTTTTGCCTGATGCTAAAAAAGATATTCAAAGGTGGCGACAGGCGACTCTCCATGGGGAGTAGGCCTGGGTGATATATTGATATATTGCCCAGGACCGGTATGAGGGGCAGACTGTGATGGTGGTTTCACTCAGTGGTATATTGCTAGTGAAACCATTACCACTCCTGATTCTCTCCATCTCCTGCATCTGGCTGCTGGAGACAGAGGGACTCAGAGCTGCGGCGGTTTCACCAGCGATATACCGCTGAGTGAAACTGCTATCGCAGTCTGCCCCTCATGCCAGCACAGAGTGAGAGTCAAGCTGTATCAGCAAGGCTCTGATAAAGCTTATTCCTCCCTCCTTTTCTTTAAACTGCTTGGCTGAGGAGTGCATGGCTGGCCTCACCTCAGCCAAGCAGTTTTGCGGAGCCCCCAACTTGCCACTGGCTCACACTGGCTTGCACTGGCTTTTGAGATTAGCTATGTAGTTCTTAGGCTTAGGAACTTGAGCCAGTATATGGTAGGATTTTAGTGGGTGTTATTACTGAGGTCCAGCGCTGAGGGCCTTCTGGCGGTTCCCTCATTGCAAGAAGCAAAGCTACAGGGAACCAGAGAGAGGGCCTTCTCGGTAGTGGCACCCGCCCTGTGGAATGCCCTTCCATCAGATGTCAAAGAGATAAACAACTACCTGACATTCAGAAGACATCTTAAGGCAGTCCTATTTAGGGACGTTTTTAATGTGTGACATTTTAATGTATTTTTAATCTTTGTTGGAAACCGCCCAGAGTGGCTGGGGTACAAATAAATTATTATTATTATTATTATTATTATTATTATTATTAAGATTTGTATACCATCCTATATCTACAGATCTCAGGGTGGTTCACAGGATAAAATCACAATATAAAAACAGAAAATACATAATCAAAATAAAAACAAGAACAACCCAATAATCCTGATTCCTGAATTTAAGAGACATGTACCTGAATATGGAAATGATGGTATTGATACCTGGGTTAGGGTGTAAATCTTTTAATAGGTGTCCTTTAAAATCAGTGACCCACGGATCTTGCAGCTTGATTCAGTGCAGGTTTAGTCAGAAGTTAGCCCCATTTTGTTCAGTGGGGTCGACTGACTAGTAAATAACATGTAGAGAACTATAGCCTAATGATGTATTTGCTTGAAAGTAAACCACACCAACAGAAATTGGTTTTGTTTCTGAGCAAAACTCATATTGGATTGGACTGCAAGTGTGTGTGTGTTTGTGTGTGTGTAATTTCTCATTAAATACATTATAATACACTTTCTGAGTGATTGAGATTTGTGTGTATTTGTAAAGTAGTCATGTGAATACATTTTTGAAGGAAATTTGTCTACGTGGCAGTGCGTGTTTAGTGGTGCATGAAATGCTCCGATATTTCACACAAAGCAGATGCAGTTGCCCAGAGACCCTTAGTAATTATCTTTCTAACAATTAACTGCCTGTTTTATTGGCTTTATCCCGTATAAACAGACAAAGAGCGTTTGTCTGATTCTCATTTTTCTTTCTCTTGACAACTATATGCCTCACCACTGATGGCTGCCGTGCCGCCTTTAGAACTGGACATACAAGTCACCTTAAGTCAAAATGCTTAAACTGTAAACTGATCTTTGTTTTTATTTAATAATCCCATATACAGTCTTGCCCACAGACCATTCGATTAAATGGTCTAGTGCAGGTGTGGCAAATCTTTTTGAGAGAGAGAGAGAGAGAGAGAGAGAGAGAGAGAGAGAGAGAGTCTATATGTCTATGTCTATATCTATATCTATATCATCTATATCTATATTTATATCTATATCTATATCTATAATCTATAAGCTACACACACACAGATATGTAGTCAACTTCTGGGTGCCACAGAAAAACCTTTCAGTAGGTCTGCTCTGGGTAAAAGTTCCTCATTATGAAAGTGTTGGGGCTTTGGTTGTAAAACTTCACACAATGCACATTGCTTTTGCTTTGATGTCTGCTGGATTGTGTTTGCATGGAATGTCACTAAGCAAGAATTGGGGATGCCTTTTAGATGTTTAAAGGAGTGCACTGTCCACTTTCCCTCCCAATAACTGCATAATTTAATAAACATTCTTTAAGGGTTACTTTTGTTTTGTTTTTTGGTATTCACAGTTATTTGAGATCCTGTGCTTCCCCACTGTGCAAACTCAGTACTGGTGCTTCCATTCAGCATTATTTAAAAAGGAGACAAAGTGTAGCATGACTCCCCCTCCCCCATGAAGTATTGTGAAGCTTGATTTTTTACTTTAACTATGATTAATTCTTTGGAGGCTCTGCACTCCCGGTCTTCTCAGTGATAAAAATCACAGTTGTCCCTGCTTTTAAATGAGAGCTGGGTGGAAACAGCATCATGTCGGCTCTCCCCTTATTCTTCATCCGTTGTGTGGGAATGGGAAATGGTGGGCCCTAGACTCTTACCTTACACTTGATGCTCACAAATGCGTCACCTAACAGTTGGATGAAACATTTGGCAGCATCATGAAAGAGATAAGACGCAGTTGATTGATGAATGCCATGGAGGTTCACGTGGAAGGCCTGCTGATTTCAGAGAAACAACTCCAAAGTTAAGTATGTGCATGATTGCAACTGGAGAGACAGCTTTGCTCGTTTGGAAGTACCCAAGGCATTGATGTCCTTAAGCTTGTAATTGTCTGTCTCCTGCCTTCATTTCCTCCTGACATTGTATCTTGCATTTCCCCCTGTCTGTCAAGATAATGCCTAATTGACATAAACTGTTCATTGAATCTCCCTTATCATTTTTTTCTGTTACAAAATGGGGAGCGTTTTAGAGGAGTGAATGAATAAGGGCTTTTTGACATAGGGATTCTGGCCTGAGAGGCAAAGCTGGTAAAAGCAACTTTTCTTGTTTTATTTTCCCTGACAGATGATTCAAGAAAGCAGATTCCTTATAGAAACATCAGATGCTGTTTACGACAAGATAGTTCAGTGCCAGAAAGCAGGTAACCCTCTTTCAGTTTTAAATATACCCAAGAGACTTCCTTGGCAATAATCATCCCAAATATTTTTCCATTCTAGCTCTTGCCCATTAAGGATACAATATCCCTCCTTGCTGCAGGAGGTGGGAGCAGGGTTGTGCTGATGGGGACTTGTGGGAGTTGTAGTCCAAAGATTAGGGTCCAACTACACTGGCTATCAATTAGTTTCGGGGCCCAATTGAAAGTGCTGGTTTTGACCTATAAAGCCTTAAACGGCTCAGGACCGCAATAGCTCAAGGACTCCCACTTCTTCCCATATGAACCTACCTGGACCCTGAGATCATCTTCTGAGGCCTTCCTTCGTGTGCCTCCTTAAGAGGTCCAGAGGGTGGCAACAGGAGAACAGGCCTTCTCTGCAGTGGCTCCCTGTCTGTGGAATGCTCTCCCCAGGGAAGGTCGCCTGGCACCTTCATTATACATCTTTAGGTGCCAGGAAAAACGTTCCTTTTTAATTAGGCCTTTGGTTGATCTGATTGACATCCTATACCCTTTTAAAATGCTGCTCTTTTGTTGTGTGTGTGTGTTATTGGGTTGTTGTTTTTATTTTGATTGTATATATATTGTTGTTTTTATGTTGATCTTTTCTGTGAACTGCCCTGAGACCTCCAGGTACAGGGTGGTAAAGAGAAAGGAACCCCTGACCATTAGGTCCAGTCGTGACCGACTCTGGGGTTGTGGCGCTCATCTCGCTTTATTGGCCGAGGGAGCCGGCATACAGCTTCCGGGGCATGTGGCCAGCATGACTAAGCCGCTTCTGGCGAACCAGAGCAGTGCACGGAAACGCCATTTACCTTCCTGCCGGAGCGGTACCTATTTATCTACTTGCACTTCGTGCTTTTGAACTGCTAGGTTGGCAGGAGCAGGGACCGAGCAATGGGAGCTCACCCCATTGCAGGGATTCAAACCACTGACTTTCTGATCAGCAAGCCCTAGGGTCTGTGGTTTAACCCACAGCGCCCCCCGCATCCATATAAATTCTAATAATAATAATAATAATGGGGGAGGCTGTTATTGGGGAGCTAGTCCAACATCATCTTCTCACAGTGACCAACCAGAATGCCCATGGGATCGTCCATTCATAGCACTGCCCCCTCTCTCATTGAACAGGTCAGATATGGTCTGTAATACTGGAGAGGGGACACAGAGGTTTTAAGAAATTAAATGCCAAAAGAGTTTAAAAAGGAACGTTCGGAAAATGGCAGGGCAGGTTTTTTTTCACATCATGAAAGGTGGCACGAGTGCTCTCATACCCCCAGGGTTCCTGTGGTAACATTAGAGACCCATGTGGTGGTGCAGTGGGGGACCAGCACTGCGCTCCTTGTTTCGGACACATCACATCACTGGAATTTAGCAGAGGGGAAGTGGCATGGAGAGCTCAGGACTGTGCTGACACAGCATGGCCGAGCCAATCTGATACTCTTGCCATTGCCCAACTGGACAGCTCTGAGCAATCCACACCTCCCCGCTCCCCTTCTTGGTCTGGGAAGTGCCAGCGATGGGCTGCTCTCCGAAGCCAGGAGAACAGCAGTGCCCCGAGTACTACTGTGTTGTACAGGAGGAAAAACCTCTGAAATAGTATCCGAGTGTGTAAAAGCAGCTACTTAAGCTGTGCAGTTTAAGCCCCTGCCCTCCCTACAAGCATGCACTAAGGTCTCTTTCACTGAAATCAATGAGACGGGAGCATTTAACTACGGCTGTTTGATCCATTATCCTTGCATTGAACTAATTGTCCGGAAAGGTACAGCTTTTTATGATGGCAGAAAGTACAGTCATAAAATAAGTGGGCAGGGTGCGGGATTACTTTTGTCAAACAGGCATCCTAGGATTGGTAAATGGTTAGGGTGGTTGTCACTTTGTCTACAAATGGGAGGGCTTACAAAGCAAGGCTTTTAACTAATGCCACAAGTTCTGAGCAAATTTACATTAAAAAAGAAAGCATCAAAATTACTTCCAGTAAACGCCATACATCCTGACGTGTGAGATTTGACGTATGATATTCTTTCTGGAAGGGGGTGACTTGCGATTACGCTGAGATGAACAGCCTGCGGTTTTTTATAAGCGCAAGCTCCACTTGCGCATGGTGGGCCAGTTCTGGATCCAGCTCTTTGTCGCGATTCAGTTCCCCACCCCTGCCGTAATATGGCCATCAGTGCAAACTCTCCCAGGGTAGCTCATAACCTACATCTCCCATACAAGTTTATCTTCTTGCTCCAGACTCAAAACCCCTGGAGCAAAGCAGAGCACAAGACGATGTAGGTTATATGATCTGTCTTGGGGAAGTTTGTATTGATGGTTGTATTCAAGAATAACAGCAGTCCAAGATGAAACGTGCACAATAATATATAGTAGCCCACAGAACATCTTATAATCTCAAAGTATCATATCCTAGAGAGCATCTTCCGGCCTTAAAGCATCATTATCCATATCACAGCGCCTTATTCAATTTGTTTAAAGTTTCATTGTCAAAATCATTGATTGTAAGAAGAAGAAATAGAACAAGGTCGGCTGTGTGATCCATAAATTTCAGACATATGAGCATCATAAGAATAAAACCAATTTAATTGGATATTTTTCCAGCTGGAAGAAAATGTGTTTATTTTCATTGTTCCTAAACCTCTTTTCAGGTTTTTTTTGTGTGTGTTTGTATTGTTTTTGAAACAATTTTCTCCATTTTTATGATATGACTGAAAATCGCCTTTAGTCATGTGTTAAAGGTGATTCATAAATGAATAATAAATTTGGTGGGTGGGATAACAGTCTGATAGGCGTTTAACAGCTGGTGTAGTACACATTCACTTCATGCGTTCTGAGTTATAGAGGAAAATCCAAAGGGTTCTGTGGACTGCTCTCTAATCCAGGCATCCCCAAACTCAGCTCACCAGCTGTTTTGGGACTACAATTCCCATCATCCCTGACCAGTGGTCCTGTTAGCTAGGGATGATGGGAGTTGTAGTCCCAAAACAGCTGGAGGGCCGAGTTTGGGGGTGCCTGCTCTAATCCCTCAGCCTCACAGCCAGTGCCTTAGGTCACAAGCAATACTATTCATTCATTCATTTGAAATGTTTATAGCCCACTCTTCACTTGAAGGTCCCAGGGTGGGATTAAAGTACCTTCCCGCTACAACTGCAGAAGGCATTTGATGAAGTCTTAAGGACAGGAGGAGTTTTCCTTAGCATGGACTGGTTAAATAATTTTTCGAAACCATGTTGGTGTTTAAATACGGCAAACCATAGTGTTACTGTAGTATGAGCCAAGCAGGCTAAGTAAGTTTTTCTGTGAGCATCTCTTAGCTCTGCTTTTGAATCTGACAACAAAGATTCTCACTTGGGGGTAGGGAGCCAACGGTCAAACCAAAGTGGTGAATGTTTTGTTCTGCCAATTGTATCTAGATGACCCAAAGCCTTACTCCTTCTGTGAGTGTGTGCACGCATGTCATCTGTTTTAGAGATTACCTTAATTACAAAGTATCATCAGCTTAATTAAATTGATTTTAGAAGTAATCTAGTTAAAGCAGCACAAACCTCAGTAACAGTCTTGCTTACTTCGTTAAAACCTTGTTTAAACAGAGCTTATTCCATTTAGTAACTGGATTAATATTACTAAAGCAACTGAATGAGATGAAGCCCATATAACTAAGGCTCGAATTGGTTTAACTGCATTCAATATTTTTTCCACTGACGCAGCCAAATTAAGGTAATTGTGTTATTTTGCTACAGCCTATCTGCGTTTAATTCTTTGCAGCTAGGTCCAAGGTCCTCTACTTGTACAAAAACATACAAACAAATAAATAAACATTTCTTTCTCTGAGAAGAACAATCACATTACTGTGCACAGGGGAATTGCCGACAGCACAGCTAACTGGGGCTATACATCTTCATCATGATAATTCTGGTGCCTTTTCAGCAGTGTGTTCTGTTTTACTAGATACACTGCTTGTGCCTATGGATGCAAGCCAGAGTTGGTTGCCCTATTCACAGATGCTCATATTCCCTACCTGGAGCATTCCCATGGCAGCATACCTTTGACTACTAGTTGCTGGGAATCTCAGGTGGGGAGGGTGCTGTTCTGTGAGAGCAGAGTGCTGGACTAGGTGGGCTTTGGTCTGATAATAATAATAATGATAATAATTTATTATTTATACCCCGCCCATCTGGCTGGGCCTCCCCAGCCACTCTGGGCGGCTTCCATAGAAACCAAAAATACAGTAAAATATCACACGTTAAAAAAACATGGCTCATCTTATGGCAGAGGAAATACCATATTTTTCCATGTATAACACGCTCCCGTGTATAAGATGCCCCTGTTTTTGGGGGGACTCCAAATTAAGAAAATGGGGGGGGGGGAGATTGCCCAGAGTTGTTGAGCTTTTTCGGGGGGAGGATTGCAGAAAATCGCTCTCACCCATCTGACCTATTCTGACACTCGCACGCGTCACAAGAACCACCTATCGTCTGTCCCCTCGACAGCAGAAGCCACCAATCACCAGCCCAATTGCTGCAGCGACATCCAATCAACACCAGACCTTGCCACGGCCACCAATAACACGCCTAATAGCCGCTGACAATCTCCAGCTCGTCTTATACACAGAAAAATACGGTAACAAACAGGGGGTCTATAGGAGTATACATTGGACTGAGACCAATTTCCTTATACAGAGTGGTCCAACAGGTGCAGCCCTCTTATGAGGAACTTAACATATGAACTGATGGGCGGCCATAACTCCCTCGGCCGGATTATTTATTTACTTAATAAATTTGTTAGTCGCTTTATCTTGCCCAAGGCAACCCAAAGTGGCAGACAGGCAGACAAAAAACTCCACATAGGTACATTAAAACCAAGGGGGAGATACATTAAACACCTCCCACCCACTTCTAAAAGGCCACAGATGACGGCCAAAAGCTTGGTTTTAGAGAAAGTTTTTTGCCTGGTACCTAAAGATATATAAGGATGATACCAGGCGAGCCTCCCTGGGAAGAGCATTCCACAAACAGGGGGCCACTGCAGAAAAGACCCTTTTTTTGTATTGCCACCCTTCACACCTTTTGTGGAAGGAGAACATGAAGAAGGGTCTCAGATGATTTTTGCAGAGTCTGGGTTGGTTCATATGGGGATAGGCAGTGCTTGAGGTATTGATGTCCTGAGCCATTTAAAGCTTTATAGGTCAAAACCAGCACTTTGAATTGGATCCGGAAACTAACTGGCATCCAGTGCAGTAAGTCATGGATTGGTGTTATATGCTCAAACCATCTTGCATCCTGGCCACTGAATTCTGCAGCAGCTGAAGTTTCCGAGCCATCTTCAGAGGCAGCTCCCTGTTGCAATAACCATTTGTATGGGAGTGTGGCTTTGCCCACTGTGCTCACCTAAATTGCCCCAAGGAGCCTGCCTCTTCCATGCGGTAGTGGCCCAGGTACTGCTTTGAGGTGCATGCTTTAGTGAGTATGAACCAGAACTAAATGTTAAGTTACTGCTCATGGTTAACAGTAAGCATCTCCGGGATATCCTTCCTCAAATTCCCTTTGGAATATTCTCAGGAGGAGTTGAGAAGAGGCTTGGAGAAACATTGCCTGCCATGGTTTTGTTTGTTGTTTTTGCCACTATTCCTTTGCTACCTCTTTGACCATGTGGGATGCGGGTGGCGCTGTGGTCTAAACCACTGAGCCTCTCGGCTTGCCGATCAAAAGGTTGGCGGTTCAAATCCCCGTGACAGGGTGAGCTCTCGTTGCTGGGTCCCTGTTCCTGCCAACCTAGCAGTTCAAAAGCACACCAGTGCAAGTAGATAAATAGGTACCACTGTGGCGGGAAGGTAAACGGCGTTTCCGTGCGCTCTGGTTTCTGTCATGGTGTCCCGTTGTGTCAGAAGCGGTTTGGTCATGCTGGCCACCTGACCCGGAAAGCTTTCTTTGGACAAACGCTGGCTCCCTCGGCCTGAAAGCGAGATGAGCACCACAACCCCATAGTCACCTTTGGCTGGACTTAACCGTCCATGGGTCCTTTACCTTTTTACCTTCATTGACCATGTGGAAACAGTATGATTCATGGATGCTTTGTTGCTATAATGAATTATATATTTCGCTAGGATGCAAGGCTGCACGCTTCCTCTGCTAAGAGCTCCACTGAATGCAGTGGAAATTGCAATTCCACAGGATTGCATAACCACCCCTGTTTCGACACGCAGCCTGGGGAAAATGTCTTGGATTACATCTTCCCTGAACTTTGACCAACTTTGCTGACTGGGTCTGATGAGAGTTGTAGCCCCAAACATCTGGATGGCATGAGGAGGATGGTGGACATATACTGTGTATATAAATCCTCATGGGGCACAGTGAACCCATAAATGTGGGTTGTTGTTGTTTAAATATGCAACTGCATTTCCCTCAATGTCTTGTCCTTTGTTCATGTGCCAAATATATTGTTAGGAATGGAACTGCATGAAGAGCTTCATGACCTGGGAACAAAGGAAGGCTTGAAAGGAAGGAAGCTCAGCAAAGCCATTGAGAGTTTTGCATGGGATATCACTGTGTTAAAGGTAAGTACAAAAGTGACACATTTCCTTCTCTAGAGAATCTAGGTCTGAAACTTCTGCTTACATCTAGCAGGAAAAGAATATTGAATATTAACATGATGGCAGGAAAATGCTGATGTGTGACAATCATAAAGAAGAGGAGCATTTCATTACATTAAGAGATTAAAGCAATCCTTAGTCAAATAAAATTTAGTAAGATTGGTTGTAAGCATTTTATAGTCTGTGGAGTTCTTTGGTTTTTCTTTGGCTTCAGGGGACAGCCAAAAGTAGATTTGTCCTTTCTGTGAGACAGAATTTATTCCAGTTGCTGGGGATTGCTGGTAGGCAGACTGCTGTTGTGTTCATGTCCTGATTACAAGCTTCCCTTAGGCTGGACTAGATGGGCCATTGGACTGAACCAGCTGGCTAATCTTATGTTCTTAAAATGACTACAGGTTATATCCAAAGTAGCACTATGTCATGGTCCTTTTGGCATAAGGTTTTCTACTAGCACAGTGCAACTTGTCGTTGCTCATCAAAAGAGTGCATGTTGTAAAGAGTAAAGATCCAGACTAAGGCTTTGTCCCTATGCACATTTACCTGATAATAAGACCAATTGAAAACCAGTGGGACTTACTTTTGAGTTGACATGACTAGGATTGTCCTGTAAGTCAGTTGTACTTTTGCTCTATTAAAGTCCAATAGGGCTTAAGTTAGTCTCATGGTTCCATTGGTTTCAGTTGGATTAAATCTTGAGTAACCTAATCTAGATTCAGAGCATCATATTTAGTTCTAGGTGTCTCCCAGTTAGAAATGTTCCCTGGGAGCAGGATTTGGAAAGATCTGTGCTTGTGAGAGCTCCTGTCAGCTGGTGTATAAGCCAACTTGGTTTCATTCAACATAAGGCGGTGTTGTATAAATGCCAGAGCATATTAAAATAATTTGATTAAGATTTTTAAAAACAACAACAACAAAGTAGCATTTTATTTCCAGAAATCTAGTGATAGATTTGGAAGTGAGTTGGGAACATAAAGTGTGTAGGCTGTCTTGTGGAAATGCCAACAAACGGGATCTGAACATAGGGATGGATGAATCTGCCAATTTTGCTTTCTCTTGGTTTTTCATTTTTTCCAATCTTCACCAATTTCCTCATCAGTTTGCAGTTAACGCCCCCTCCCTAAAATAACCGTCCCCATGAAAATTCAGTATTTTAATCCACATTTATCCTAATGTACATATACTTGTATGCAATTTTGCAAAATATACATTTTTGCAAGCCATTTCCCCTAATATAATGCATATTTGCATGCTATTATACATTTTTTGCTGGAGAACTACATCACAACATTCAGGGAAGCTTCAATTCCAAAAGCAGTTGCATTTCGGTTTCCATATTGTTTTGTGATGTTTGACTAAGGAAGATTCCATTAAAATGTGAACCAAACTAGACTCTCTCCCTCCCATCCCTATTTGAGGGTGCCAATGAATGTGGGGGTATCTTCTTATTCAGACCTAAATCCAGTTTAGCTAATAAGATTAATACATTGAATGATCTGGCCACATTCCACCGTGTGGGAGATGTCAGATTCTAGGTAACCTCTACTGAGCACCAGGAACTGTTGACTCCACAGATAACAAATGTCTTCACTCATTGCAAGAGGCATCTTGTTGTTCAGTCCTGACTCATTATTTCATGAATCGCTTAAAGAACCATGCCTCCACCCATACTGGCAGCCAGTTGTATCTTTTCTGTAGTGTTCCCTGAGCAAGATAAAGGTTTGCGAGATAGAAAGACTGAATTTTGAAACTGTAGGATAAATAGAAAAAATTGCAAACTAGTCCCTGGTTCAACAATTAATGTTTTCAGCTTTAATATAGAACTAGAAAAATTGAAGCAAGGCAAAAAGAACTATCTAGTTCTATGAACTAGGAAAGTATATGGGCAGCAGAGATGGAGAGTACAGGACAAGCTATTCTATGGACAACCATTTTAGAGAAAGAATATATCCAATAGTTAATTTTTAATTTTTAAAAAAGTTTCTCCCCTCTCTCAACAAGCCCATGTACTGTAGATGATTAGAATTGCATTCTAACACCCTGTGAACACCATTCTGCTGATAAAAAGAATGTGCAGTGTGAAGAAATGCTTTATTTTGTCCGTCCTGAATCTATCAACATCCATCTTCATTGGAAGTCCCCGAGTTCTAGGGTTATGAGAGAGGGAGAAATACAATATCCTCTTTGAGGTAAGGCGACTCAAACTGTCCACAACATGGGTAGGCAAACTAAGGCCCGGGGGCCGGATCCAGCCCAATCACCTTCTAAATCGGTGCTGGAATCAGCATGTTTTTACAGATGTAGAATGTGCCCTTTTATTTAAAATGCATCTCTGGGTTATTTGTGGGGCCTGCCTGGTGTATTTGCATGAGTAGAATGTGCCCTTTTATTTAAAATGCATCTCTGGGTTATTTGTGGGGCACAGGAATTCGGTTTGCTGACCCCTGGTCCACAGTATTCCATGTGTAACTGCACCATGTTGTTGTTTAGTCGATTGGTCGTGTCTGACTCTTCGTGACCCCATGGACCAGAGCACGCCAGGCACTCCTGTCTTCCACTGCCTCCCGAAGTTTGGTCAAACTCATGCTGGTAGCTTCGAAAACACTGTCCAACCATCTCGTCCTCTGTTGTTCCCTTCTCCTTGTGCCCTCCATCTTTCCCAACATCAGGGTCTTTTCCAGGGAGTCTTCTCTTCTCATGAGGTGGCCAAAGTACTGCAGTCTCAGCTTCACGATCTGTCCTTCCAGTGAGCACTCAGGGCTGATTTCCTTAAGAATGGATAGGTTTGATCTTCTTGCAGTCCATGGGACTCTCAAGAGTCTCCTCCAGCACCATAATTCAAAAGTATCAATTCTTCGGCGATCAGCCTTCTTTATGGTCCAGCTCTCACTTCCATACATCACTACTGGGAAAACCATAGCTTTAACTATACTGGCCTATGTTGGAAAGGTGATGTCTCTGCACCATAGATTTGTATAATGGCATTATGTCATTGGCAGTTTTATTTTCAATTGTTTCCTAATGCTGCCCAGCATGCATGGCATTTGTCTTTTTCACAGCTGCCATATATCATTGAGCTATCCATTGCAACCACAAGGTCACGTTGCTGCCAATTCAGACCCCTTGAGTGTAGATGTGAAATCAGGGTTTATTTGCCCAGTGTGCATACCTTTACACTTGATTGCATTGCCTTATATAGAAACCAGCTCTGCGGTATTGTAACAAGCAGATTACTTACAAACTCATTTATTATTACCCTCTGTCATTCCTAGCAGAGCAGGGTTGTGGCACCCAAACATCCACCTTTGGCAGTGATACTCCAGTGGAGCAAAACACAGCTCACTGCAGAGATAAAAACTAGGATGTGTTTGTTTTTTCATTTCAGAAATATTCCAGAACCGCAGTGAATTATCTGTTCACCCCGTCTTCATTTACACTATAGTTAGCATCTCTCTGAAGTGCAATATTTTTCTTCCTTTTAGGCAAAAAAAGGCCGCAACTGACAATGTTATTTGAATTATTCATAAGCAGACAGATCCTAATGAAGAGCTCATTTCATACAAGCAGAAGGCTTTGCTGGTCCCTGTACTGTAATAAACTAAATTTTACAATAATAATCCAGAAGCCACCAGACCATATTAAATATGTTTATGTCCCCCCCCCCCCGCCCGCCCTGCTCCATGGATGATTTAGATCTAGTGGTTTTTGACATAGGGAGGTGAACATGGATGACTGATAGTGTCTTGACCCTAGGGAATAGTCCTACTGCCTCTCCTGCCCGTGCCCCTCTGTACCCAACACTGATTTTTTTGCCTGAGGCCAATTAGGCTAGGCCAGATTCTGGCAGTGGATTTTAAATTGTCTCTTTTAAAGATTTGTAAAACCAAGTCAATTGTTATTAGATTTGTAGAGCCCTATTGTATCCTTGTTTTCTGCTGACGCACTTTATCAACGCCCCCATGAGAGTTGCTTTTTGCTTGTTGACAGCACTAGGTTTTGCATTTCTTATACGAGGCTAAAAATAGTTTTTTCCTGCATGATCCTATTCATGTACAAGACAGTGTTCTTAATGGGCTTTGACTTGATTGTTATTTAGCAATGGAAACTTCTTAGTGAACTCTACCATAATTTCAGGGTAGCATCGTTGTAATCCCAATCTTTCCCAGGTGGTAGTTAATCAACCCGCTTTCCCCATGTCTCCTGGCTGCCAGCTTTTGTGTTGGAAAACAGCCACCCCAGGGGATGATGTAGTAAGTGTTGTCAAGCAAGTAGGATCTGCTTCCAGTTTTTTCAAAGAATGTGAGATCTTCAGGTCAGTGGTTCTTTTTATTTAGTGCTTTGTTTCCAAGCATTTCACAACAGGAATATCTCCTCCCCACTCAATTTTCCAAAGCGTTTTCTTTAAGCATCAATTTTATCATTAAGTTGTAAGCTGAATACTTTTTTTTTTTTTTTGCAGAAATCTTTACTTCTTTGTAATAAATACTTGATTTGAAGAACCCTGCTTTAGAAAGTAGGTAGCTTTGGTCTTAGACATTGAGAGTTGTGATATTTGGAAATAAGATGATTGCATGATGCATTATACCAGTGATAAGAAAACTCTGGCTGGTGGGCCTAACTAAACCTGACAGACTTTGGAATTTGACCCAACAGGCTATTTTGGGCAAACCACAGCCACCTGTATGACAAATTGAGGTTGCACAATTAAAGTTGATTTGGAGTTCTTGTGCAACAAGGCTGCTTCCAAAAATTTGACTTTTTATGATAACAAACGTGACAGACAAATGCACTTGAAAGTACCGGATAACATTTGCTGGATACAAAGTCATCTAATCTCTCTGCAAACAAATCAGAATAGAGTGCTCAGTAAACAGGTCGTCTACAAGTGACCCCAAGTTCATTCCCCACTTACTGGGTGACCTTGGGCCAGTCAGCAAAATCTGCCAAACCTATCTCATTAGGATTTTTCTGAGGACAAAATGAAGTTTTACCTCGAGCTCCTTGAAGGAAATATTGGATGTAAATTAGCAAATAAAATAAAATAAACAAAAATTGAAGCTAGGTAAACAACAACAGAAGCAGTTACCTTTCATTTGCCCTGGCAATAAATAATAATAATTATTATTTTATAAAACATTTAGGAAACACCTGAAGGCAGCCCTTTATAGGGAAGCTGTTTAAGGTTTAATGTTTTACTGTGTTTTTATATATTCTGGAAGCCGCCTAGAGTGGCTGGGGCAACCCAGTCAGATGGGCGGGGTACAAATAATAAATTATTATTGTTATTATTTTAAACTCTGTGTTTTCACAGGTTGTTTGTTTCCTGCTTTTAGAATTTTAACTAGACTTTTTTTATTTGCAGCTGTGGGTTTTTTCTAGTGCTTTCCCCCTCTGTTGTTGATATGATATATGTATTTGTCACTTTCACACTTAACCCTTTTAGACGTACACACTTAAACTATATTGCGTGTGCTCTTAAACATGAAATGTGTGTGACCCTTTGGCTGTGCTCTTGGAAGCAAATTGCTCTTGAGATCCATAGGAGATAACTTCCAAGTTAAATGGGTTAAGGATTGGAATATAGGCAACATCTGTCTCAGAATCAGTTGCACTGTTGACTTTCCGGCGGTAACAAGGATTTATGTTAGCCATTAATTTCAGTAGCTATGACTTTGTACACAGAACACGAGCAGAGCTGTTGAGTGTAAAAGGAATACTGCTTACATAGAAAGTTCTCAGAGGGGTGCTTCAGATTATTTAATCTCCTAGTGGAAAATGAGGCAGCTGCAGCCTCCTTGATAGAAGAGGACTGCTTTCCAAAGAGCATGGGGCTGTCGTTTTTATACTTCCAGTCCTCTTGAATATACTACCTGTATATCTTGGGAGTATATCCTGCACATGGTTGTCCCTCTATTTGAAATGATGACATTTTTAACTAGGGCATGAACATCAAAGCTTTGCTCCTGCAGAGCACTAATTAAAGGAAGCAAGGCAAGGTGGCAGAAAGGAATGCTGTTCATTTACATCAGTTTAAAGGCTACAGTTGGCATAGAAAAGCCTGCACAATCCAGGCTGCAAATATATAACTTTAAAGTATGTGGAGAGTTCCTGGTGAAATCTCAGAATATGATGACCAGTATTATGCGGGGCACTAGTGAGTAAGCTCCTTCACCCATCAACATGACTGGCAAGATAAATGGTGCAGAATGGGCAGTCATACGGATTTGCCCAAATTGCATCATTTATATATTCGAGAAAAGACTTTTTTTAAAAAGCATTGTGATTTCTTCCTGAACGTGGAGTAGATGCAACTTTGATGAACAATATTTGATAATGCTTCTAAGGTGCGTGAGCAGTGAAGAGCAAGAAGCTGTTCTTTGTTAGATGTGCTTAATGCAGGGCTCAGCAAACTTAGCGCGCCTTGGGCCGGTGTCTCCAACGCCGATCGTGCGGAGGGCAGGGGAGCGCGTGCCCATATGCGTGCGCACACACTATTTCCGGCGCACTTCTGGGTCGGAGGAGCACTGGAAATAGCTTGTGTGCATGTGCATGGGCCTCCTCCAACCTGGATGTGCACAGGAAATAATGTGCATGCACAAATAATGCTTGCGCATGCGCACAAGCTACTTCCGGTGCTCCTCTGACCTGGAAGTAGGCAGCCGCACAGCGCAGCGCCAATAAGAGTGGGCGGCGGCAGCGGGCGGCGGGGGTTGTCACGGGCTGGATAAACAAGTCCTTTGGGCCTTATCCGGCCTGCGAGCCTTAGTTTGGGGACCCCTGGCCTAATGTTATTTCAGCCTCTTTTAAACATGAAAAGCCACCTCTCAATGCGCAAAGAGAATAGGAGCGCCAGTGGGGTGTGTGTATACACAACCCATTTCCCAATCTAAATTACCTACTGGTGGCTCCTGAACCGCAGGGGAGTCCAAATGTGCATTTGCCAGTACAGTCGTACCTTGGTTCTCGAACGTAATCCATTCCGGAAGTCCGTTTGACTTCTGAAAACGTTCACAATCCAAGGCACGGCTTCCAATTGGCTGCGGGAGCTTCCAGCACTCAATCGGAAGCCATGGAAGCCGCAGAGGACGTTTGTCTTCCAAAAAAGGTTTGCAAACTGGAATACTCACTTCCGGGTTTGCGGCGTTCGGGAGCCAAAATGTTCGAGAACTAAGCTGTTCCAAAACCAAGGTACGACTGTACTGTATCTCAAAGTCCAGAGGTGGAGTGATTTGGAATAAGGAAACAGCAGGCATGGAATTGTTGAGCCCCTACCCGCAACATATGATCTTCAGTATCAGGTTACTCCTCCAAAGGCAGCTTTTCCTGTTTAAAAGGGTTGCCAAGGTAATGTTATCCGAATCTGTCCCTTTTTGTACAGCTTTATCTTTACAGTATATTTGTGGTCATTTGGCGCTTATAAATATCCTGTTGTCCATTAGTAATGGTCTTATCTCTGAAGAGCTGGGTTTAATCACACAGATGTATTATTGCAAAAACACGTAATGCAATTTTAAATTTCATGATCATTTGCCTTAAAAGCTAAAAATACGTCTCTGGGAGTACTGGTTTTATCTTCTCATCTCTGATGGTCCTTCTTTTCTCCAGTTAGAAATGAAATTAACTTAACATGAATTACTGTACTTTTAAATAGATCCTTTAAAAAAAAGCAATTGATGTTCTGAGATCCCATGCTAGCATAAACAGTACTGAATAAACAAATGTATTTTTATGCTGGCGTGGCTTCCTGAGCAGGCCTTAAAAATAAGAGCCATCATGCTGCCCCAATAAAATAACATCTTGGGTTTAAATAAAATCAATACTACTATACTGTGTTAAATTGATGGGAGACTTCCTTCTTTGTGGAAGGATACTTTCTCTGGAAATCATTTGACAGCCTGGAAATCATTTCACGTGAATGTAGTAGGTAGGTTGTAGGTAAGTAGGTAAGGTGGCAAAATGTTCCTGGACTGTATTAGGAACATTTGGCAGATGGGAATTGAGTTGTCACGTGACTGAATAATGCCCATGTAAAACAAAATTATGTGCACAACAAAATTATGTGCACTTAGAAAACGAGCATCTCAGGAAGACAGCTGGGCTGGAACATTTCTTCCCAATTACAAGCTTTCCATGTGCAGAGAGCTTTTTGTATCATCAAGCACTTGGTAACAACAACAACAACAACAAGATAATGCAACCATAACACTTTCTCTCCTGACAATCACTTGAATCTATCTTCAAACATAACATAGGAGCGTCCTGATGTTTACTGTTACAACCAGAAGAGATCTCCCATGCTTGACCTCCCAAGAACGGTATGTCGAGCTGTTTGCTGCATGAGAATTGCTTTGTGCCAAGAAGGAAATGTCCCTGTAATTGGGTTAGATATCAGAGTAGTCACTTCAAAGTAGTCATAGCAATCACTTTAGAAGTGTAGAGAAGGGAAGCTTCTTAACTGTTTACCCAACAAGGAGAAAGCATAAGAGGAAAGAGTGAAATACTGCAGTGTCGATTACCAAATTGGCCAGGACCTTACAAGATTTGCCTGGATTCCACAGGTGTCAAACAACTTTCCTGCTGCCCATACCCAACTATATCTTCACTGTGCAGGGATAATTTTTCATCTTTGAGCCTTGAATCTGGACAAAACCTTTATTTTTGTTTGCTTCTTATTGCTTCCTGACCATTTGGGGTGCTTAGCTGTGGCATGTGAGTGGCAGGTGGGGATTGGGAGAGCCTCTAGTTTACACAGATGAAACAAAAGCCTTGTAATATTGTATTGGATTCGGATGGCTCAAGACCAAAGAGCAGCTGTTTTACTGCTGCTGTTTCTCCAGCTACGGTGAGACTGACAGCTTTTATGAGCTCTTAAGGTAGAAGGTGTTGAAGAGGATTTGTACCAGAGCTGTCAGAGTCGCTAAACTGATCAAAGGATTACAGTGCTCTCGATAAAAAGGAGGCTTTACAGTAAAAACAATGCTAGAAAATGCCAGTCATTTGAATTTGTATCCTTGACAGCTTACAGCTAGCTTTAAATAGGTCAAGTGAACCAGAGAATGTCAAGAAGAGCATAGAGCAGTAAAGCCTCTGTTCATTCCTTCTGCTAATAGTTTTTTGTTTTGTTTTGCTGTTTAAAGAAGCGCTGCCTGCCCAAACTTCACAGAGAGGCAATCCCTGAAGGCTTCAATTTATTTTTAGGCAACAATAGGAAAAAGGTGACAACTCCTACGTCAGATGTGCTGTGAGAGAGTCATCTGAGTGCATAACAGAGAAGCATCAGACACACTGATCCCAGGAGGGGCTGGTGCAGAATAGCAGGCTAGGCTGTCATATTCTCATCTTTAGGTTCACCATGCAATTCTCTGGTGAGAACGGAGATAGTTGTTTCTGGATTCACATTATTGGATGGATAAAACCTTGAAAGTTCTATATACAGGCACAAGAGCAGGCATCTTTCAAGTCTCTTTCTGTCTAAGGCAGCCTTTCTCAATCTGGTGCCCTTCAGGTTATTATGGACTACAACTTCCAGTATACATGGCCACTAGCCCAACTGTCTGGGGGTGATGGGACTCGAAGGCCAAAACATCTGGTGGTACCAGATTGAAGAAGGGACGAGGTTTGTTCCAGAATGAGAAAAGAGAGGCAGGCAAAACAAACAAACTCCTTTGCATTTCACACCATCTTTTCCCCCTATGTTTTGCATGTTACACCTGTGGTAATCTGGGTAACGTCAAGGAGTTGAGGTCAATCCCAGCTTCTAGATGAATGTTGTATATGCTGCTGTTAGTGATCTCAACGCTCTGAGTGCTGTCTTTGTGTAGCCAAAATGGCACCATCCATGATAAGAGGGGAGGTATCAGCAGACTCAGAGTTCCTCTGAGGTTTGGAGAAGTACAAAAAACATTGTAGGCATTGAATGCAGCGTCAGGATTGGCAAAAGGAACAGGTGTGATGAAATAGCATGGAGCACCTGGAATCCCAAACAGAAGTACCGCATCATTATCTTGCAGACCCCACTGGTACCTGTATAATATATATTCTTGTTATGGTCACATTTCACATTTTAGACCTATCAGTATTCAGCTAAAATAATCTGTGAGCTGAACCTTAGTTAAAGTTTTGTGCTTTGCTGTTGTCGTGATATCAGCATTTATATGTTGTTGTAATGATGAACTAGGAAAGAACTATATTAGAAACACATCAAGATTCAGTTATTGAGTCCAGTGGAGATCCTGAGGATTAAGACATATTGTAGACTTCAAATTCACTTCTACTTTTCTTGAGAAACAGATATTCCAATTTTTGAGGTCTACAGATTGTCATTTTTAGTTACATTTGACAGGCTAATACACAATAAGTTAGCTTGCATAACAAGGTCATAGGGAAAAAATCCTTTGCATTTAAGCCAGTTCTCATTTTGGCTGTAAAAATCTTGCTTGACATAGCAAAACAAGAATCTTGCACTGTACCACTGATCTCTAAGAACTCACCATAGGTTCTGGCACAGAATTTTGTTTAAAGCACAGTGGCATAATATAGCATGATGTTTTAATTGGCTTTTATTACTGAGGTCCAAAATCTTTGGTGGTCAGCCAAGCCATCTTACATTACTCTGAAGTGAGAATAAATTGGTAGCATGCTGTTGTTGATGGCTGCTCTGAATTTTGGCTAATAAGCCAAACTAGGAGAAGCTAAATATTAGCTAGAGAGTAGCTAGGTAGAGGTTGGGTGGTTAACTGTCCACTTTTAAGATACGGAGCTAAGGTTCTATCCAGTGATACCTTTGGACTAATGGAACATGCTTCTATTCATGTAAGGTGTTGCACCCAATATTTGCTGATTATTTAATGCAGTTCTATGCACCATATTCCATGAGCTCCTGCAGGGTCTTCCAACCTTTTGGAGCAACCTTTAGTCTAGCTTGATGATTTCTACATGTTAATACCAAAACTTTCCATTTCAGTTATCTATTTTTTAAAAAAAATATACAGGCTGAGGACTTACCTTCTCTAGGCTTATATTTCTGATTTTACCCTCACCATCTATCAGGCATCTGGTCATTTGGCTTTGTTTGTTTGTTTCAGTACCAAAATTGTGACCACAATTTTGCCTTGGTGATGGATGTATCTTTCATTGCCTGCTCTGTGACTTAGAGATACTCAGTTTACAGGTGGTTATCTTCCCATAGGGACGCGGGTGGCACTGTGGTCTAAACCACTGAGCCTCTTGGGCTTGCCGATCAGAAGGTCAGTGGTTCGAATCTCTGACGGGGTGAGCTCCCTTTGCTCTGTCCCATGTTTAGTACAGATGTTTTTAGACTGCCTTCTTCCAACATCTGGAAAAAGAAGCTGAGATACACCATGTCTTAATTAACTGAAGGTGTTGCAGCAGGCAAGACAGCTGCGCTTTCTCTCTCTCTCTCTCTCTCTCTCTCTCTGCCTCTTCAGTTGCTCAGATTTTGCCTTGGGCCTTGAAACAGCCAGTTAGCAGTACAGCGAATTCTCTCCAGACTATTATGGAATTAGCCAAACTAATCTTCTCTGCTTTAATAGGCCTGTTTAATCATAATCCACAGTCCAGGCCTTTCAGAACTGAGGAAAGCATAAAGCCTCATAATTAACTTGTTTAAGATTCTTTTGTTGTAGGATGTCTGATTTTGCACTTTAAATAAAGTGAAAGGGCTATTTAATATACAGCTCTCAGTGAAAGCTTAAGTTTAGGCACTGAAAATCTTTGCCATGTTTAACAATGTTAAGGACTGTATAGATACAATTGCATGTGGCAACCATTGATTCAGGAAATTGTGTAACAAAGCCTTTTACTTGTGATGCAGTTCCAAATATGTTCAGATGTTCAATGTCAAGGAAATAAAATCTGACGGGTAATTGACATGTATGTAGATTACAGGTTGGTTTCATCTTGCTAGCTGTTTTGTACCTTTAGCTTTGTGACAGCTTCATAAGAGTTATTGTCTAAATTGTGTAAATACATATTCCAGTGTGGAGAATAGTTAAGCAGGAATTCACTTCACCCATTGAGCGCCAGAGTTCATGTCTTAAACATGCAAATAGAACCCCTGTGGCTCAGATCAGTGGCTGGAAGCTGTTAAAGGAGTCAGATGCTATGAAATGACCTCTAGCTTATGGCTGCTAAGATTTTTCCTTGATTATTTGAACGGTTTCTCTGCTGCCCCTCACTGATGGCCCACAGATTAAATCCCATGTGTTGTCTCTCTTGTTCACAGCCTGCTTTTGTTTTGATAGGGGATACTAATGAATGAGTCCTATCTCATGTGGGAAGGATGGAAAAATGGGTGGGGGGTTGTTAATTCCAGCTGTTGGGTGCTATAAGCCCTGCCTCTGGCAACTCATTTCACCTGTTCTTGAAATGTAAGCAACCCTCTTAAACCCCTACTCTTTCACTGTCTCTGTTCTTTTCTCCTGTTGTCACTTTTGAAAAGCACACAAATCTGGGCAACCAAAATGGTCAAAGGCCTGGAAACGATGCCTTATGAGGAACGGCTAAGGGAGCTGGGCATGTTTAGCCTGGAGAAGAGGAGGTTAAGGGGTGATATGATAGCCATGTTCAAATATATAAAAGGATGTCACATAGAGGAGGGAGAAAGGTTGTTTTCTGCTGCTCCAGAGAAGCGGACACGGAGCAATGGATCCAAACTACAAGAAAGAAGATTCCACCTAAACATTAGGAAGAACTTCCTGACAGTAAGAGCTGTTCGACAGTGGAATTTGCTGCCAAGGAGTGTGGTGGAGTCTCCTTCTTTGGAGGTCTTTAAGCAGAGGCTTGACAACCATATGTCAGGAGTGCTCTGATGGTGTTTCCTGCTTGCCAGGGGGTTGGACTCGATGGCTGACATGCATTCTAGATTTTACTTCTAAGGCCTTAAAAGGAATAACTTTATACTGCTGTTGCTCCATTTTCTTACTTCCCAGTTCTGAATACATAACTTACTGTCTTGGCTACTGTGATGGGTGAACCACCCTCAGGTTGTGTAAGCTTTGGCTTGGAAATCAGCCAAGTTACTTTTCCCAAATGAAATAGCTAGACTGATTTCTGAGTCAAAGCAGAATCCTCGACCCAAGCACCCTGTTCTCCGACACTTTAACACTACCTACTGGTCAATCCAGTGACAGAGCCGCCAGTGGCACTCCAGCCACTGGGAGGCAAAGAAAATGAGGTCTCTCCCTCCTTTTCCTTCCCGGCACCTGGCATGTTACACCAGTGTGCCAGGACAAAAGGTTACAGGGGTCCGTGGGAAAGTGATTTCCCCAGGGCTACTTCAGTACCGCCTTCCTTATCTCTCGTAGTGCCTGGAGCATCCGTCTTATTGCTGCCAGGCTGGTGGTCAGGAAAAAGTGTTTTAAAAGAGGTGGGTGGGAAACTGGGGGGAGGGGGGAGGCTGAGTGGAATGGGAGGGGGCAAACCAAGAATTCTGATTTAGATGGTAATCTGAGCTGGAGAACAATCCAGGGCCCTTAATGTTCATTGAAACAAACATTACTAGCAACTCTATCTAGTACTCCTTTGTGGTGTGCTTACTATATATGCAGATGGTTGCTTTGGCAAGTTCCTTGAAGGAAAGTCTGGAAGAGCGTGAGTCATCATTAGGCAAAGCAGTGGCTCACCAGGGAGCAAATAAATGCCAAACGCAACCTCCTGAACAGTATCTCAACTGAAGTAGTCATCGGGGATGGGCTCAGAAATACCACCAGTGATTCCTCTTTTATCCCTAGCTTTACATATGCCCACAAATGCGTATACGTAAGAGGCTGATTGTCATTCTGTGCCTGCAAAAGCACAGATCTGTGAGTCGGTTGCGCATCAGATGTGTCCTCAGTGTAGGTGAAACCAACCTGTGTGATTTGTGTGGTACACTGGTGCTCTCATGATCACATAGTAGTATGAAGGCATGTGTTTCATTTCTGCTTTTCAGCCCTTAGCGGGGCCATAGCTTGCCAGATGGCCTCAGCAAAACCATGTTGCTTATATTTATAGATGGCGGTGACTTCAATATCGTCTTCTTTGAAAAAATAGCCCTCCTTAGTGACCTCATCCTCCACCCAATCAGATTTGACTACAGTGATCATGTTTGCCCTCCGTTTTGTCGTCATGTAACCCAATAGGATTGGCTGTGCAATGATGTCGCTGTGACTTAGGACGGTTAGTTTTCAAACCAAAATGGTGCTGAAATAAAATGGTGTATAAATGTTTGCTGAGCCTTCTGGACTGGAACCATGGAGAAGCTGCTAGTGAAGTCCAGTTACTTTGAGCTACCTGATCAGGTATCGCCCACCTAAATGTGTGTTGGAGGATGTTCCCTCTGGAGATGACTGTTCGGAAGATAGCCTTCTTGAAAAATTGATGAAAGGGGGAGTGTGTTTTGTTCAAGGGAATGGTGTTTGCCAAATGTTTCCACCTTTTATATAAGCCCTTTACTATTTTATTAAAATAATAATAATAATAATAAAAATAATAATAATAATTTATTATATATACCCCGCCCATCTGGCTGGGTTTCCCCAGCCACTCTGGGCGGCTCCCAATCGAATATTAAAAACACAATACAGCATTAAACATCCTACTGTATCATCCTATCAGACACTGTCTTTAACCTTTTCTTACGGTTTGATACTTATTTCTAGACTCTATGATAACATCAATAGCTAAAGAAGCAGGAGCCTTCGAAGGCTAGGATAGAGGAATGTGATTTTTCTTTGTCTGACAGAAATAATGAGTTCTTTATGTGTGTCTCTGTGTGTGTGTGTGCCAAGAAAATGGTTCTGTGCCCTCAGGTTATTGCAGTGACTTATTTCCAGGGGTTATTTCGGTTTAACCAGATTTTTGGAACTAACCCCACATTCTTTCTAGTATTTGGTTTTGTTAAGGTGTTGACATAATTTTGCTGGCACCCCCCCCCCTTTTAAGTAGATTATATTCGCAACCAATTTTCTCAAAGCAAACAGATGGCTTCTCAACAAGAGCATGTCCGCGGAAATTATCCCTTGCAGAAGTATAACAGCATTGCCACAAGAGACCTATGTTTGTCATTCATTTTCTTGTGAGATGTTACTCAGAACCATTATTTGCTTCCTCACCTTGCTCACATGAAGCAGGGGTGTGTGTGTGTGTGTGTGTGTTTTCCTCAAAGGCCAACAAAACTTTAATGAAAATTGGGGAGTGGGGATGTACATATCAAATTGCAATATACATTGTCATTGCAATTTGAATTGGGGAATGTTTTTCTTTCTCTCTCCTAAAATTAAAACGCATAAAACTAAAAGCAGGAGGATTTAGGACAGACAAAAAAAGTGCTTCTTCACATAGTGCATAGCAGAACTATGGCATTCGCTCTCACAAGAGGCAGAGATGCCCACCAACTTGGACGGCTTATTTACGGAGGATAGGGACACGGGTGGCGCTGTGGGTTAAACCACAGAGCCTAGGACTTGCCGATCAGAAGGTCGGTGGTTCGAATCCCAGCGATGGGGTGAGCGCCCGTTGTTCGGTCCCAGCTCCTGCCCACCTAGCAGTTCAAAAGCACGTCAAAGTGCAAGTAGATAAATAGGTACCACTCCGGCAGGAAGGTAAACGGCATTTCCGTGTGCTGCTCTGGTTCGCCAGAAGCGGCTTAGTCATGCTGGCCACATGACCCGGAAGCTGTACGCCGGCTCCCTCGGCCAATAAAGCAAGATGAGCACCGCAACCCCAGAGTCGGCCACGACTGGACCTAATGGTCAGGGGTCCCTTTACCTTTACCTTTATGGCTACTATTCTTGAGGGTTATGTTCTGCCTCCACTGAATGAGTCAGTATACCTCTGAATTCCAGTTGTTGGAAATAGCAGGAGAGGAGAATGCATGCAGGATTCATGCAGCCATCTGCCTGATTTAGCATGGTTCTTCTTATGTTCTTGATGTTTTATTTTTTAATTGCTGAAGCGGTAGGTAATAATAATAATAATAATAATAATAATAATAATAATAATGTGTATGCTAAGGTAAAGTGTACGCACTACTTGGCTGGAGAACTGCATTGCAAAATTTGGAGAAGGGCAACTTTTGAAGAATGGCTGTCCTTCAGTTCACAAACTGTTTTATAAAGTGCAAATTAGGTAGATTTATGAATGTGAGCTGAATCCAATTTTTCTCCCATCCCCAGGCCAAATCTGTAGAAAACAGACTACAAAGCAATATTAACTTGAGCAGGAAAACGCTTTCCAAATTTCCTTCAAAAATTCTGTACATGCCACTCTAAGAACAAGGGACTTAAATAGAATAAAATCTATGTAACGGCAATGTGAAGGATTATATGTTTTAGATTTGTGGTGACCAGTATAGCCCTGATATTTTTTTAGTGCTCAAACTGAATTGCTTTACATCCCTCTGTCGTGACTGAACTCTGAGAACAGTCTTGTTAGAGCCATCAGTTGACAAGAAATCACTGCATTTCATCAATGATGCAATGCCAATCCATCTGTCTACCCATGGTATTTAGCTTTGATCAACATGGGAGTATATGAATGATTCACAAACATTTATGATTGCCAGTTAGTTTATTGCATGATCCCCAGGTAATCCAGTGATACAATCTGTTGCTGGCAGCTTCAAAACAGGAAATCGTAGGGTGATTTTCTGGGATGATCATTCAATACAACAATAACAAATGCAAGATGAGTGGCCCTTACAACTTTAATCCCTGCTCCTGGGTCTCAATGAAAGATTTGGATTCTATCCATCCTAGAGACTATCTTACCTGTATCTCTATCTATCTATTTATCTATCTATCCATCCATCCATACACATACACATATTCACAGATGCTTATCTGCGCTTTCTCCATAACTGAAGCAGATCTGCAGATCATAATGTCTGATTGTCTCTTACATGAGTATTTTCACTTCATGTCCATGTATTTAGTGTGCATGGATGGAACGGAAACACTGTGTGCAGTTACACTGTGTTATAAGCTACCTATAGGTTTTGTGCTCATACCTACATGCTCTCTTTGTAGGAGTCGTGAAGCAGTTGACCAGTTAAAGCTGTAATGATATTTAAAAGAAGTCTGGCATAAAGGGCTGGATGGGCACAGAAATCACACTAGAGCCATCCTGTTGAACAGGGGCTCCTTTGTATCACTAAGTTGTTTAGCAGAATGACTGAATGACCCCGGACGTTATCAGTTTGTGATGCAATCTTAGCTCATGCTGGTATATCTAGTTGCTATTGTTCCCAAGCATTGTTTACTGGTTCTGAACCTTGCCAGCTACCATTGTCTCTCTCAACTTGTTTGCCAGGACTGGAGTAATGGGGCGAATGCAGAATCACATGGCATGTGTCAGTGCATCATCGAGTCACAACAGGTTCTCACCGAGTGCCAAATTTTGCTAAAAGGGGGGGATTGTGCATGAGCTGAGTGATGGCAGATGTCTGCAGGTTTGCACTGAATGTGGCAAAAATGTATTTCTCACGCTTCTTGAGATTGTTCCCTTTGGTCATTTGCAGGTTCGTATTCCACACCACGCTGGGATCATTCTCTGTGGGGAGAAAAAGGTGAATTGTAATGATTGTAAGAAATATGGTGGTCACAGTGCACAGATGCACAGTAGCAACAGGATATTTCCTCTCTTGTGTTCCGGTTCTATCCTTTGCGGAGAATGTGGTGATGGGCTGAAATGTCTAGGCTATGCGAATACTGGCATCATTGCATTGTGCTGCTTCCTTGCCTGCTCCACATCACTGGCAATGCAGGTGTGGGCATGGAGTTTTCTGTGGGCATAGAGCTTCTGTTTTTGGAAGCAATCCTGTGTTTCCTGGAAAGGTGTAAGCCCTAACCTTCATTTATTTGAATTGTTCTCTTCTGCCCTTCAGCTAGAACGCGAAGCTTACAGTTACGTCTGTGGGAGTTGTGCTTGACAGATTTCTCCATTCTATTTTTATGGCTAGTGTTTTTAAGGACCTGCATGCCTTTGATCCTCGGTGGCTGCAGTGCTCTTCTAAAATGTCCCCAAAGAGGAGCTTTTCTGTAGGGATGCTTACAGATTCCTCCCCATGTGAATTTCTCACGCAATTTTGTGGTTCCTGGTGACCTGGTCTTGTCTCCAAAGCAGCATCATTACTCTCATGATCTGTCCAGCTAATGCCAAAAACCGAATCTAAAAGCTGCCGGAACTCTGTCAAAGTGCTGGGATCTGGTTTTGAGTTCCAGACTTAAGTTCAGATGGCTGTGCATGCGCAGTTTGCCATAGTTTGGTTTGCATTTTCCTGCCTTATAAGATTGCTGACATGCACATATTCATTGATTAAATAATCACAGCACTGAAATTCATTCTTTCTGGTTCACAAGACCTTCTCCTTCATGTGCTGAACGTAGCAGAGTTACGCCCACTGGAGATACATCAAGCAGTTGTGTGAAGGGACCCCATCTGAGGCCCTTTACATCACCACCAAAGCACTTACATGTGCTTTCTCTGTGTGGAGGTTTGGGGTGGTGATGGTGAACCTTTCTGATGTGATTGCATCATTGCATGGATTGGGTTTTTTTTTAGTTTTGCACTGTGATTTAGTTTATTAATGTGTTTATTCCTTGGTGCGCGCCAGTAACCTGTACTACAGTAAACCGTATGTGCCAATTCCAAAATTAATTTTGGAAACTTTGCAAGCTGACCTAGAAGGCAAGGGGAATTAGGAATGTGGGACAAAGTGAGCCTACAGGCTAAAAACAGAATGGAACGGGGAAAATATGTTCATTACAGCTTTTCTGGAGTTTGCTAACCCCCCACCTCAGTAAGCCCTTTAGTTGAAATGTTGAAAAAAAAATCTGATTATTTTGGGATCCACTCTTGATTTTATATAAAACTATTGAATGATTATACCATAGATACTATTACAACTGAAAAAATTAACAAGAATAGAGGGTGTAAGTGTTCGTTCTGATGCTGGCTCAGTGTTTCAGCTGATTAACAAATGTCTACTCTGGTTTGATTCTTAGGTTCTCCAAAGGTGCTTTCCCCCCCTTAAGCATTTGCTCTCAGCAGCATTGTCCAGACAGGAGTCAGCTTCATCAGTCCAAAGCATGGGTGTACATGATTAAGAACTGTTCTTTTCAATAGGATTTAAGGCACCGTTTTGCTAGTTGGATTTTGTCCATTTTCTCTAGTGTCAGGAGATGGGTTAAAGAGGCGTTAATAACTCACTTGAATTGCTAACAGCTCATAACGTATTAAATCTGAGAGACCAGCTGCATCCACTATCATTCACTCTTGGGTGAGACGAGTTGTCTGTGCATGTTATGCTGTGACAAAGTGTATGTGTTTGTGTGTGAGAGAGAGAGAGAGAGAAAGAAAGAAAGAGAGAGAGAGAGAAAGGAAAGACAGCCCTTCTTTATCTTTTTAAGGACTTGCATGATTCACGACTCATCTTCTTTCTGTGTGCTTGTTGTGTATTCGTAGGGACAAGGTGATCTACTGAAGAACGCCAAGAACGAAGCCATAGAGAACATGAAGCAGGTCCAACTGGCTTGTTTGTCATGTGGACTCAGCAGAACCGGGATTTTGGATGCCAAGTCCAAACGGTGCCTGGAGGCAATAGAAGAAAAGGAGACTGGCGATGAGAATGGGAGGCTGTGAAAGAAGACCATCGCTGTCTGGCAATGGCATATATTTCAATAGCCCGAAATTATTTTTTTAACACATTTAGAAAGAGAAAAGACCGCACTAGATTGCCCTCTACCGGATATCAGAAGTATTAAAATCCTCACAATGCCAGTGTTTTATTTGAGTTCATTTATCCAAGTTTAAACTCTTGAAGTAGTGATATTTCTAATAAATCCAAGCTCTGTGTGTGTGTGTGTGTGTTTGTGTGGGGAGATCTAGTAAATGCTCTGTCATGAAGTTACATTGTTAGCCCTTTTCCTTATTTATTTTATTATCTTTGATCAGAGTTTTATCCAGTGCTTTTTTTTCTTTAAAAAATGTTTAGGGGTACTCTCATTTTCCTACTCATATTGAAATACTGCCCCTCAACGAGGACAAACTTAGATTCATAAAATGTTTAGAGGTATGCGTACCCCTGCGTCCCCCCAGAAAAAAGCACTGGTTTTATCATTCTGAAGATCTTGGTGGACAGAGAGACTGCATAACACATTAGTTTTAATGCTTCTTTATACCATACTGTTGCTTTAGTGGCAGCTTCTAATAAACTGTGCTGTTCCAACTATGTAATACAGATTTTACCAGCAGAAGAAAGCACACTCATGAACCTAATCTTTTATTGGCATGGATGAATAATGGATTCCTCAGCATAGTGGGAATGCTAAATAATTAATTTACCTATTAAATTAAGTTCATGAAATATTAAACAATCAGAATTCTTTTGGATAGATCTCAATGGGACTTCTGATGAACATTCCACTAACTTCTTTTTTTTTGGCTAATCATGATTTGAAATGCACTCATATTAATAGAATAAATTGGCCATTTTGTTTCATGCAAGGAAGCCAGGGTTGTATTTCAGCTCTGCAAAATTAGGGATGGAGTGATTTCCAAGCTTTGGTTCTGAAATGTGAGATATCAAATATTCTTTTAGACATAATAGAATACGAAGGTGCTCCTTAGTAACTCTGGAATGTTTCCCAGCGTCATTACCTGAAGGAAGTTTATACAAACTGTGAGCTTGAGATAAAGCTCAAAGAACTTCATTCTGCTTACTTTGTTCCTATGAACAATCCCGCATAAAACTAGCAAGGGCTATTTCTCAGGATACATGTCAAACATGGGCCTGCATTCAAACGGAAGTTACGCATCTGGCTAGGAATACAAGTACAGTGGTACCTCTGGTTACGTACTTAATTCGTTCTGGAGGTCCATTCTTAACCTGAAACTGTTCTTAACCTGAAACACCACTTTAGCTAATGGGGCCTCCTTCTGCTGCCGCTCCGCCAGAGCACGATTTCTGTTCTCATCCTGAAGTAAAGTTCTTAACCCGAGGTAATATTTCTGGGTTAGCGGAGTCTGTAACCTGAAGCGTATGTAACCTGAAGCGTATGTAACCTGAAGCGTATGTAACCTGAGGTACTACTGTATTTAAAATGCATCTCTGGGTTATTTGTGGGGCCTAGGAATTCGTTATTATTATTTTCAAAATACAGTGGTACCTCAGGTTAAGTACTTAATTCGTTCCGGAGGTCTGTTCTTAACCTGAAACTGTTCTTAACCTGAAGCACCACTTTAGCTAATGGGGCCTCCTGCTGCTGCCGCTGCGCCGCCACTGCACGATTTCTGTTCTCATCCTGAAGCAAAGTTCTTAAGCTGAAGCACTATTTCTGGGTTAGCGGAGTCTGTAACCTGAAGCGTATGTAACCTGAGGTACCACTGTAGAGATAACATCATGGAATGATGCTACTCAGAAGAAAGACTTGCTGAACTGCCGTTGCTCTGCAGTTCTCAAGTCTTTTCTCTCTAGCACTAGTTGTGTGTGGTGTTATTCTCTCAGCGTGTCTTTTCAGGGAGAGTTGTGAGAATAAACTCACACTTTTAACATGAGAAGCAGACCTAAGGCAAACACACAATAGCCTTATTTTGCTATGTCCAAGGGCAGGCACACAATGAAATATAGCTGGTGGAAGAGAGGGATGATCTGGTGAGAGCTGAGTGGTTGAATGAAACTCTAATCTGACCAGCTATTGGAAATCACACGATCAAACTTACCATGTTACTAAGTGGAGTGTTATGCGTATTGATGTCATTATATAAATACACTAATTTGCTGGGCTGTGACAAAGCTGGCAGTGCGTCAACAATGGTGCATGAGTCACATGACGATTCCAGCGCAAACATAGCTCCTCCCCAGTCTACTCAAGTCACATTTCCACCACGCCAGTGTGATTTGGTGAACGTGATGTGCTAGAAATTAGAAGGAATTTGACAGAAGGCATAGTAGCAGAAATAAATAGCTTGGGAAATTTAATGATTGCCAGTGATTCTCAACTTCATGCTGAAACTGTTGGCTGCTAGGGTTCTGTCTCTTGGTGAAGCTGGAGGCCATAAGCAAACCAAAAACAAAAAGTCTTCATTTTACCATCCTTCATAATATCTGGCTCAAACATTCTTAATGGTGTTCCTATATTTCAATCTTCTCAGTGCTTGAGTATGTATCTGCATTACCTCTATTAGAAAGTAGTGTTCTATTGATATAAGAGACTATATTTATTTAAGCATTGCTTTTATTTTGAAAAGCTTTTTAAATTAATTTGATTAACAAATGTGCTGATTTTACTCAACAAAAAGGCCAATTGTTGAAATTTTGAGTCTGAAAATCTTGTATGCATTAAGTTATTTTGTTTTATTTTTCTGATTCCTTAACACTATTATGTTCATGTTGCACATTTCTGAGAGAGTAAAGCTATGGAAAAAAAATGAGCCATGTTTTAAGTCAATTACTGCACACTGATGAAATACATGTTCAGAATTTTGCCTTCAATAGCATGTGAACAGTAGGAAAAATATATTAATTTCACTTTAGATCAATCACTTACTAAACAGAGATACATGGAATATTATGAGGCAACAGACCTACTCATTAAACCATACCACAAATTGAGAACAAAGTAACTTACTGAGAATGGATCAGCCCTGGCTTAGTCCTAGCAAACATGCTGCCGGTTAACTGCTGGCTGATGGTTAAATCATAGCTGTCAACCTTCCCTTTTTTTGCGGGAAATTCCCTTATTCCAGCGCTGCTTTCCACTGCTATTCCGGATTGTTAGATATCCTGTAGACTGTCCCCGGGACAGGTGAGGCTGCTGATCCCTTATTTTCAAATCTGAAAGTTGACAGCTATGGGTTAAATCCAACTAAAGAATCACTTGATCTTTCTAAATGATGAAATTAGAGCTCATATTCTTAATGGGAGCAAAGTCTTCAGAGCTTTTCTGCCCACACATGGAGATCTTTAAAGGTGGCAAAAGGTCCCTCCATCTTCCAGACGTGCTAGGATTTAGTCAGGCCTGGACCAGAATATTCTGATTGACAGTATCAGAACGTGGCTGGGATAAAGCTATATAGGGTAATGCAATGCGTTCCACCTTTGCTAAGGAGGCCACATGCCTGAGTTGGATGTAAGCAGGACCACATATGCTGGCCTGATTTGCCTCCCAAGGGCTGCAGAGCTCTGCACAGGGAGGTAGAAGAACCAAGAGAAGTGAGAACTGCAATTGCTACTGAACAAGCCCAAGAGCTGAACTTGGTGGCTGTAACAATTCCAGGGTGGCCGTATCTCCCACTTGACAGAGAACAGCCTTCTAGTTGAAGGTATCCTTTGAAGGTCTCCACCTTTTCAGCAATATCCAGTCCAAGTCTAGTTTAAAGATAAGCAGCCTATATAAGAGAAGGGGGAGAGTTCACCTGCACGGCCCAAAACTTTTGCACTATTTATTTAGCTGAATAGCACCCAATATGTAAAATGGCCCTCCTCCCAAATCAATCAAAGTCGTCATACTCAAGCTAATATTGCTTTCTGTTGCATTCAAGGGATGTGCAGAATGTATTGAAAACTCAGCAGGATCGTGATGATCCTGCCAACTGATCTCCAGGATGACCCCTATGACTTTGACCTGAGCTCCATTGGTATCTGTGAAGCTTCTGGGACTGCTGCAGATCCATCAGCATCTCACTGGGAATTATCAACAAAGTTCAAGAACCCACAAACTCCAGTAGAGCATTCGACTGTAAGGAAAGCTGTGCTGTTGGAGGCAATTGATTGAATCATCCACCATGAAAGCATAGCTGTCAACCGTCCCTTATTTGGCAGGAAAGTCCCTTATCCCAGCGCCGTGTCCCGCTGCTGTCCCTTATTGATGATATCCCTTAAATTTCCCGGGTTTCAAAGGAAGCAGCTCCTCTCCCGCCCTCCCTGCCGGCCAGGGAGGAGGGAGGCTCCAACTGTGTTGCTTGGCTGCGTTGCTCACCCAATAAGGAGTCTAAGAATGACTGGGGGGTGGAGCTTGCATGCCTTGTGCCAATCAAATCGGCCGCGTTGCCTGGGGACTCGCCTTTGCTCAGCACTTCCCAGCGGAGAGGTGACGGTGGTTTTCCTTGCTGCATCCCCTTTGCCGGGTTGCTGTGCTGTGGGAACCACTGCTTGAGGCTTCGTTTGGCTGCTGGCTGGGCTTTCTGCCTTTGGCTCGGAGGGGTTCAGAAGTTGAACATACCTGTGCCTGGAAAATCCCTTATCTTGGCTGCTGATTCCTTATTTGTGAGGCTGCTGGTCCCTTCTTTTCAAATCTGTAAGTTGACAAGCTATGCATGAAAGTGAGCCAAGCCTGCTTGTTTGTGCCTTCAATCACTTAGTCCCATTCGTACAGCACTGCAAAACGAATCTTTGTTAGCACTGGGAAGCAAATGCATACTTGGTAGCTGTGAGTTTTCACACGAAGCCATGGAAATGCACCTAGAAACAGTTACCAGTGCGTTGAAGACATACAGAGATGTGTTTGGCAAAGAGTGGTGAATCTCCTCTGTGGCAGGTGCGATGAAAGCAACGTTCAGCAAGCCATAGCTAAAATGCTGAATTAATCGAAACTACTGGTTATTCCTTTAGAGAAGAAACTGGATTGACGCTGCAATTTCAGCTGAGAAATCGGCAGTGCAGGACACCTCCTATGGGGATATTATCTTGAATCTGATGCATGTTGCTAGAGACTATGTCAGTGAGGAAGACACAGCCATTTAGGTTGTAACAGAGGTTTCTATAACATTATTTTTGATGAAAACAGCAACAGCTTTTTCTCTCTCTTTTTCAGCCAATGATATAAAATCATTCCCAAAGTCGGCCCCCCCCCAATATTTATGACCTATATTTCAGAATTCTCTTCGTTAAAAAAGGTTTTGTGTATTTTCTTCTTTTAATTACAGAATCCAGCCATTTTACATCCAGAGTAAAACCTTCAGAAAACCCTATAGCTAACTTCTGTTTCCTTTTACTTATTCATACAGTCGTGAATTGTAGCGTTGGAAGGGACCCATGGAAAAATAGCTCATAAATATTTTTAGGGGATGAAATGACTTTGGGAATGGTTTTGTATCATCAGGAACTCTTGCCACCACTCTCTCTCCTTCACTCCTGAAATATGGGCAGCTGGCTGGTAGATATGCCATGCCATTGGGTTTAAACATGGGCTTTTTAAGGAGCAGGTGTACCACTGCCTCTTTAAGGGTGGCTGCCAGCTCCCCATCACAACACTCTGGATTCGCCCAGCCACCCCACTCTGGCTGACTTTAATCAGCCATGAAGAGCAGGCCTCCAGAGGGTATATGGTTGGATAAATCACAGACTGCAAGCTGGTGGCCCACATCAACTGGCTCCATCAACCGAAAATGATCCCATAATCCTAGGCAAGCTGTAGCCTCAACTGGATTAATAGCAAAGTCACTATGAAGTCAAACGACGTTGCTTTTTTTAATTGTTGCATTAATGTTAATCTCTCTGAGACAATTTTTTGATGGATTTTTGATGAGAGTAGAAATACGGGAAGGTAAAGGTAAAGGGACCCCTGACCATTAGGTCCAGTCATGGCCGACTCTGGGGTTGCGGCGCTCATCTCGCTTTATTGGCCAAGGGAGCCGGCGTACAGCTTCCGGGTCATGTGGCCAGCATGACTAAGCCGCTTCTGGTGAACCAGAGCAGCGCACGGAAACGCCGTTTACCTTCCCGCCGGAGCGGTACCTATTTATCTACTTGCACTTTGACGTGCTTTCGAACTGCTAGGTTGGCAGGAACAGGGACCCAACAACGGGAGCTCACCCGTCACGGGGATTCGAATCACCGACCTTCCGATCGGCTAGCCCTAGACTCTGTGGTTTAACCCACAGCGCCACCTGCGTCCCTAGAAATACGGTAGCTAAGGCAATATTGAACAGAAATTTTGTAACTAAAACAAACAAATAGTGAGGACGGGGCAAATTTAAATTTTGGTTTGGGTGCTCTGCTTATTGGAATGAAGTCTCACATTCCTTAGATCCTTCCCAGATCACTGGTTCTATCATAAAATTGGCCCAGGACTGTAAATACGGCTGTCGGTGTTTATATTGGCTTCGCTCGTATCTCTTTAGCAGCAGCATAACAGGAATAGAATTGGGCAAGCTATGTCTTGCACAAAGGGAAAGGGGGCAGATTTCACCTGCTAAATTTCCGTGAATCTTCCCCCCCCCCCGTAAAACCAAAAAATTAAATAATCAAGCCTGCAGGGTTAGTACAAAATGTGAGAACGTTAGGTGCGTGGCACAAATTTTTGATGTCTGAATGTGCCCTTTGTAAATAGACTTGACAATAAACGCTTGTGTGTTTTAAGGGAAGTACGGTGTGTGCACCCTCTAGTGGCAAAGACACACACACACACACACACACACACACACTCCACATCTCTCACAAGCATCTGCCACTGGCATTATGCACCAACGTCTAATCCCCAATAAGGCTTCAGGCTGGAAAAGGCATTTTGCTGCAGGCAATAGTGGAGAAATCTGTTTTACCTCTTCCTGTGTCATATTTATATGCCTGTTGTCTTTGTCCATGGAGTTTTCTTGGCAGGGATACTGGAGTGGCTTGCCGGTTCCTGCTCCAGGTGGATCATATTTGGTCAAAACTCTCCACTGTGACCTGTCCATCTTGGGTGGCCCTGCATGGCATAGCTCATTGCTTCTCTGAGTTATTCAAGCCCCTTCACCACGGCAAAGCAGTGATCCATGAAGGGGAGTCATATTTATGTGGAGACCCACAGCCTTTGCACTCTCTTAACCACGGCGATGGTAATTTGCAAACAAGGATCTTTTCACATTTTCTAACAGACAGAAATCAAAATGTGTAGCCTTTCCAATCTCACTGCTCAGAGTAGGGAATCGCCTGCTTAATTTCTCCATGGTCCGAAATGTGACAACAACCCCAATCTGTAGCTTTGCATACGTTGGTGAATATGATGCGGACAATAAGAAATTAAGCAGAGCCCTGCTGCATCAGATAATCAAGAATAGCATCCCAGTTCCCACACTAGGAAGATGGATTGATTGACAGTCCTCTCCTCCTATACCACCCCCCTGTCCTCTGCAATTGGTATTCAAGGTTATAGTCCCTATGAACATGCAGGTTCCCATTCACAGAGCAACCCTGACTGTCGTCTATTCAGAAGCAAGCCCTGTGGAATTGAATGCCCAACCAACACCTCTCTCCAAGTGTCCTAGAGAGTGAAGTTCTTTGACAGTCACTTGAATGGCAAATTATTGATCTTTGCTAAAAATTAAGTTGATTTAAAAAACAAAACAAAACCCTGAATGGACCGACCTTTAAATTGCTTTCTGTTATTTCTTTCTGCAGCACAAAGTTATCTCCCCACCTCCCCTCTGAATGAGAACAAA